ACAACAACTTCACTGCTTTCCTAACCAGTTGGGATTCTTGGCTGAAGAAACTCAGGTACTTGGATTCTTTGGTGGGCAATTATTCTTGGCAAAATTCCACGGAACCTATGGCACACTAGTGGGCTTGGAGTATCTTTCACTGGGGAAATGATCTTCGTGGAAAAATCCCTGGTGAGTTAGGCAACCTCATAAATTTGAGAGAGATTTACTTGGGGTATTTTAATGTTTTTGAAGGTGGAATCCCCGTAGAGTTAGGTAATTTGGTAAATTTAGTTCACATGGATCTCTCAAGCTGTGAATTGGATGGTCCAATTCCTCATGAGTTGGGAAACTTGCAGTTGCTTGATACTCTCTATCTGCATATCAATCTACTCTCAGGTGCGATTCCTAAGCAGTTAGGCAACTTGACAAGCTTGGTGAATCTTGATATCTCCCACAATGCCCTCACTGGAGAAATCCCATCTGAGCTTGTTAATCTTAAGCAGCTTAGGCTTTTCAATCTCTTCATGAACAGTTTACACGGGTCTATTCCAGACTATGTAGGCGACTTGCCTAATTTGGAAACTCTGGGGCTTTGGATGAACAACTTTACTGGTGTGATACCCGAGAATCTTGGTCGAAATGGGAAGCTGCAATTGCTTGATTTATCCTCCAACAAGCTCACTGGGACAATACCCCGAGACTTGTGTGCTTCAAATCAGCTAAAGATATTAGTTCTGATGAAAAATTTCCTTTTCGGGACCATTCCTGAAGACCTGGGGAGATGTTATAGTCTCACTAGAGTAAGGTTGGGGCAGAATTACTTGAATGGTAGCATTCCAAACAGCTTCATTTACTTGCCAGAGCTAAACTTAGCAGAGTTGCAGAACAATTACCTGTCGGGGACATTGGGTGAAAATGGTAATAGCTCCTCGAAACCTGTTAAATTAGGCCAGCTTAATTTGTCAAATAATCTCCTTTCCGGTCCATTGCCATATTCACTTTCCAACTTCTCTTCTCTTGAAATCCTTCTTCTTGGTGGAAACCAATTCTCAGGCCCAATGCCAACTTCTATAGGAGAACTGAGGCAAGTCCTGAAGCTTGATCTTAGTAGAAATTCACTGTCCGGTATTATTCCACCCCAAATTGGAAATTGTTTTCATCTCACATACCTCGATGTGAGCCAGAATAACCTTTCTGGCTCAATTCCACCTGTGATTTCCAATCTGCATATCCTGAGTTACTTGAATGTATCGAGGAACCATTTAAATCAAGCCATACCCAGAAGCATTGGGTCAATGAAAAGCCTCACAGTTGCCGACTTCTCTTTCAACGATTTCTCTGGGACGCTGCCAGAATACGGCCAATTTGCTATCTTTAACGCTTCATCTTTTGCAGGCAATCCTCAACTTTGTGGTTCTCTCCTGAACAATCCGTGCAATTTCACTGCTATTACAATTACCCCCAGAAGGGCTACTAGGGACTTAAAGCTAATCTTTGCACTAGGCCTGTTAATATGCTCTCTAATATTTGCCACTGCCGTCATAGTCAAGGCCAAGTCATTCAAGAAAAATGGTTCAGATTCCTGGAAGATGACAGCATTCCAAAAGCTCGAATTCACAGTTTCTGACATCCTTGAATGCGTTAAAGATGGCAATATGATTGGAAGAGGAGGTGCGGGGATCGTGTATCATGGGAAAATGCCTAATGGTATGGAAATTGCAATAAAAAAACTTCTTGGCTTTGGCAGTAGTAGACATGATCATGGTTTTCGAGCAGAAATCCAGACACTAGGAAACATTAGGCACAGAAACATTGTCAGGTTGCTAGCATTTTGCTCCAACAAGGATAGCAATCTCTTGGTCTACGAGTACATGAGAAATGGGAGCCTGGGAGAAGCGTTACATGGGAAAAAAGGTGCATTCCTGGGATGGAACTTGAGGTACAAAATTGCAATTGAAGCAGCTAAAGGCCTCTGCTACCTTCACCATGATTGTTCACCATTAATCGTCCATCGAGATGTAAAATCAAACAATATTTTGCTAAATTCAAGCTTCGAAGCACATGTTGCCGATTTTGGACTGGCCAAATTCTTGGTCGATGGGGGTGCATCAGAGTGCATGTCAGCCATTGCAGGGTCCTATGGCTACATTGCTCCTGGTATGTACAAAATAAATCTGTGAATTGTCAAAATATCGATTGTCCTGGTGGACCTGACATTTGTCTTCACAATTACATATTTGAACACTGGTGATACTGATATGATAATGTTTCTATTTCCCTAACATCACTGCTGAAATTTTTTTTGGCAGAATATGCATACACATTGAGAGTGGATGAAAAACGATGTCTACAGTTTCGGAGTGGTTCTTTTTAGAGCTGATCACAGGCCGGCGACCGGTCGGTGAATTTGGAGAAGGTGTAGATATAGTTCATTGGGCTAAACAAGTGACAATTGTCAAAGCGAAGAAGTTATTCAAATTGTTGATCCAAGGCTAACAACCGTGCCCAAAGATGAAGTAATGCACTCATTGTTTATTGCAATGCTATGTGTACAAGAAAATAGCATCCAACGTCCCACAATGAGAGAGGTAGTTCAAATGCTATCCGAGTTCCCTTATCACACTCTGAGAACCAATCTTCATCTCCTTCCCTCATTCACTATCAACAGAACAATCTGATAAAGACAAAAGTTGCCATAGAAATCAATGAGATATTTGAGTTTAAGAGCTTGGAACTCTTTTTTTCTTTTTCCACATTATGGTGTTCTAAATTTGTTGTTGTTGTTTGCTATTTGCAAAGTATATATCTCTTTTTCCCTCATAAAATTTCACTTTAGATATAGGAATAAGAGATTTGGTGACAAAAAAAGTAGAGGAAGTTTGGAATAATCAATGGTGCCCTATAGCTAGAGAGAGCTTGCAACCTTAAAATGGGGTCAGGCATGCACGCCCCCCTGGTATTGTATTTTATATATTCATGCTACATTTGATTTTGTTTTATATTTTTATTTATATTAAAATTTTCTTTAATTATGTTTAAAATATTTAAAAAGCCAATTGATTAAAATAAATATTGAAAATTTTAATTTAAAATTCAATGAAAATAAATATTTAAATTTCATATGGACCTAAATGACTGCTTCCCAGCAGGGGGCTGAGAATGTTTGTCTATGGGCATCCTAGCAAACAGAAACTACACTCTTCCTTATTGGGCCAGATTGCACTTTTGAACTATTTTTCACTTAAAAGTGGGTCATCGAGCCATTGTCGAAAGCCCTGTTGATATTTTAATTATGATTTTTCATCATTAAGTGGATAATTTTAAGATGGTGTGATATCTTTAGAATTTCATCTAAATTTTTACTCCACTTTTTTAATGAATTTGAAGTTCAGATTCTAAATTTAGTAGTTCTTCATTTTTCAACAATGATTATTTTATTTAATTCACTTATAAACCAAAAAAATAAATAACTATGTTAATACACAAATTAATATTTTAATTATCATGATATATAATGTAATTATTAAATTTAAAATTTAATTCAAATAATTCATATAATCATTTTTAAAGAAATAATATCCAACAAAACTAAATTTAAAATCTAATAATTATATTTTTTATCCTTAAATTATAATCTTTTATGTTAATATATATTTTATAACAAAAATAATATATGTGTATATATAACTCAAGCATTATAGTACATTCATATAAAAATAGTATAAAAAAATAAATCTTATAATATAAAATATAATACGAAAATATAATATAAATATGAAATAAAAAATAAATATAAAAATAATACGATTTAAATTTTTTTAATAATTATATATATAAGTTTAATAAACAAAAAATATTTTATATTTTTATACCGATACAAATTATAACATATAATTTTTAAATAAAATATAATATAAATATATAAATTTTTATATTTTATATAATATAAATACATAAATGATTAGGTATGCACAAAAATGATAAAACAATATTTGACAAAAAAAAATGACAGAACAATATGGAAGTTAATGAAAAAATATAATATAAATTGAGTGGAAGAAAAACATTAAAAAATATTATACAAGGTATGCCTAAAAAGTTTTAAAAAATGGAGGAAATTAAAAATGGCACTTGCAAGTTGGACATTTGACTCCAATCCAATCCGACGATCACACTTCCTTATTCCTAATATTGGAACTAAGCTATTCTATTTTTAATTTTTGCAAAACTATTCTATTTTTAATTTTTTGATATTTTTGTTGTATTTTATTGAAATAAAAGTTATTTTCTTGGCAATTTGTGTTTTCTTTTTTACTTCATGTCCATGGCGGTGGAAAACGAAGCTTTCTTGGGGGTAAAATTCAAAATAATCGTACTGATTTTTCTTTATTTTTAATTTGATTTTTAAATATTTATTTAATAATGAATAATTTTGAGAGATACCTTAAGCACTAAGGCTGTGACAATGAGGTATAAATGAGGTATAAATGAAGTAGTAAGGTTAAAGTTTTTTCCTTTCCTTAATTGGAAATAGGCATTGATGTGTTTTGGAATCAAAGTTGTACTTTTATAGAAAGACTGCAGCTTTAACTTTTTAATAACGCTTTTGGTCTTTTATGTTTCCCCTGCTTTTAATTCTTAGGTCAATTGGGATGTTTTTCTGTTTCACCTTGTACATAATGAACCAAAAGGAATGCTTGTGTTTGTCCATTTCTTAAAAATGCATATGATCACTGTTAAGATATTTCAAAATTGACCTTTTATTATCATTATCTTTTTATTTTCTTTCATCATTGTTAGCTCTTTTTCCCATATTCGAAAATTCTCATAATTATTTGATTACTTGGTCGTGTGATCATTAATTAAATCATTTCAATAAACTCATTATGCAGCTTTAAAAACAAAGATCATCTAATTCAATGCTAGCATTAGAAAATAGTGAATTTATGCAGTAAGTTATTATGTTCTTCATGATTGTCAATAAAGACTTATGTTATTCTTATTGCAACTCGCAGATTGGTCTCAATCAGGGCTTGGAAATGCTAAAAATTTTTAAAAGTTACTCAGCAAAAACAAAATTGTTAGATGACTTTGGATTTTGTGAAAATTGAGAGTAGACTCTCAATGCGAAATAGAATTACAAGTCAGCTACTCCTAGATACAAGGAAGATGATTTGACTGTGAGTTCTCTCTCTCTCTCTCATGCACAGACACATGCACACATCATTGTTATTGCAACCAATTTGTGGAAAGAGTTTGTTCAAATTGCTGGCATCAAACCTAATCTCTTTTATTACCATTATGATTTGGAAATATGACTATAATTAATGGCATCATGATTATATTCATACATCTTTTGTGTCCCGAACTTTATAATTAAGGGTATCATAATCTCTTAATCCAGAAGCAAACAAAAGGGGGAGAGAGGAAAGTGGTAGAAGACTTGAGGAGGACCAAGAAAACTACTGATTCAACATCCCTCCTCATTAATCTCACTCAAAAGCTCTCCCTTAATGGCTGCACTGTGAAGAGCATTGCTGTAAAGAACCCAATAAAAAATTCATTTCCTTCCCTCCACCATAGCCATTCAGCTATAATACTAGTTAAGATTAGCTAAGGGGGGGTCTTCTTTTTTTCTCAACTGTGAAATTCTTTTTCATCTGATTCGGCTTTTTTAGTTGGCAAGCAGTGAGTTTGAATTAGCATTTGTAGGAGTATGTTCCTATTCCTTAAACTTACAGAATAATTATAGTAATAAATATCAAGGTTGCCATCTGATTAGAAGATAGATCAATTAAGCTCCCAGTATCTCTTTTGCTCAACCAAATACCTTGTGCATCAACAAAATTATATTCCAAAGTACGGAAATGGTATTTGTGATGTATGCTTTTCTTCCATGGATCATGCAGTTTTCTTTAAAGAGGGGGCAAAAATTATTCAGAACAAACAGACATTTTGATTGATGATGTGGCAAACCACCAATGGTAATATTCGATATTGGGGCAGCCGTATAGCCCAGAACTACGTGTTTGACAACCTACCGAACAATTTAGAGCCAAGAAGAATTGTAGTATAATTATCAAGCCAACCCCAACGACATTGGACAATTGCCAAGTTGAGAATGGATAAGAAGGCGAACTAACAACACTCAAATTTCTTCTATACATTTTTCTCAAAACAGTTGAACGCAAAATTACCTACCTGATCAGCCGACCACCATGGATTTTGGTATATAAACTCAGCTCATGCGTTGGTTTTCCTCACTCAAACACAGAAAAAGAACTGCTTTATCATTTCAGACATTGGAATTAGTGGAAATGGCCTCTTTCAATTGGTTCATCTTAGCCTTCTTCGTGGGACTGACATTTTCCGGTATGAATGTTGGGCTAGCAGCTCGCCATCTGCAGCAATTACCAACTTTGCCAGGAACCGGGCTGCCACCATTGCCATCTGTTCCAACGCTGCCACAGCCGACAATGCCAACTTCGCCTACCATCCAGCCAACACTACCTAGGCCTGGCTCGCTACCTCCACTTCCTAGCATTCCCAACTTGCCTACTGTCCCAAGGGCTTCCTTGCCACCACTGCCAAGCATGCCTTCGATCCCCACAATTCCAATTACAATTCCCTCCATTCCATTCCTCTCTCCACCACCTTCAACTTCCAGCCCTTGAGACGATGGCGTTCATCTGCTGTTAAGAGAGTTGGAGAGTTTCACTTGTTTATTTCAGTTCGTTTCCTCTTGTACGCAGTGTGTGCTTTTCTGTTACATTATTTTCATTTTTCATCATCTTAGCATAGATGGGTGTTTCCATATTATTTGTTGTACCTTGTCATATCCTATTATGGATTTATATTCATCATTATGTTTGGTTAATATTCAGCATCGTACTCCTACTTTCACTCTCCTAATCTCAAAGCAAGACTCTAAAACATTATTAGACATGAACAAGATTCATGCTATAAATTAGAATCATAGTCTGCGACCCCTCTCCTCTCCTAGATTTTCCTGGTTTATGTCAAATCTTCTTAACAACATATACCATACCTTAAAGTGAATCTACTTCATATAAGTTCCAATAGCTGCATGAATTGGAGTAGTTCTAGAACCCCGATTCTGACCAATGAATGAAGGCCACTCCAAACAGACGTCTGATTGTCAGGAAAGAGAATTCCACATAAATTAAGGAGCTTGAGATTTTCAAAGCAGAAACTCTCCAACATCTTAGGTCTTTGTTGTCTTTCTTGTGACTCCTGTGATTAACATGAACACCATCAACATTGTCAGTAAATGACTCAAACGCATATTAGCACATCATAGATGCAAAATGTGTACATGCAAAATATGATAATGTCCCTTGGATGTACCATCAACATTTACGGTTCTCCAGTTTCTAAATGCAAGAATCCCTCGTGTCCGTAATCTTATAATGCCCCTTCATCATTACCGCAAAAATATCCCATTTCCAAACTAGCTTATACAGTGTAGTCTTTCTTCCTACTTGTTGAGAATAAGGCTTAAACACCTTGTAAAAAAAACTTCTTGCCTTGTCAAAGCATGAACAAGAAAATAGTTGGGAGAAATGAATTTGGCTGTCCAACTTCATTAATAAGCTAACTAAGATGCAATTCTCATCCAATTAAAAGATGGTAGATTTGAAGCCAAACAAAAAAGGAGGGGAAGGAAACGGGAGAGTTGGGGAACAGAAATACCTTGTGGCTCTGTTGCTGAACTGCTTTACTTTCTTCCTCATTTTGTGCTGGAGTAGATCCTTTCTGATTTAGGGCTACCGCACCGGACTTCTCCACTATTTCAGGCTGAGATTTCTACTAGGCACCTCTGACAATCTATCTCCGAATTGTGATTGCTCTTTCGTTTCACCTTCACATTTGTTCATAGTCTTTATCTCATTCTCTTCCTTATGCCTCTCCTCCATATGGCTATACTGCTGCTCAGACATCTCCACTTCAAGCTTCTCTCCTTCACCTTCGACCTCAGCATCTGCATCTGGGTCCATTGATTCATCCATATTTAAAGATGAATCCTCACCATAAGGACTATCAACAGATGAAGATTCCTACAGTCGAGAAATGGCAAAGAGAAGTTAATTTTCGTTTTAGAACATGATAGCTAACTCATTTTCTAATCAATTTCGACTTGAACTTATGCATTAGTCAAATAAATTAGCATACCTCTTGCTGGAGCTCCTGAACTCCAGTCTGACCTTTAGCCATTCGAGCATTTGTCTCACGCTTTCTGTTTCGTCGCTTCAAAACAGATATAGCACATAAACAAAAGCTTTTATGGCGCCTTCTACAAAATGAAAAAGAGAAAAACAAATAAGAACAAAGTTTTGATTAAGAAATGACCCCAATGCAGTTGAAAGTGTACAGATAATATCATTGTCTGATCGGTTCCGGTTGATGGAGTATCAACTTCCATTCCAGACTCATATTCATCATTAACAGAATTGTCTTCACTATTTACACTCAACATTCACAGCTGCATCAATTGGAGCTACCACAGCAGCATTGGGTTTAACTTTGTTTCCTTTCTTGTGGGCTCTTTTTCCCTTCATTTGTCTGAACAAAAATTGGTCTTTTCTTACACACTACAAACAATCATAAGATAACACAAATTAAATTAATTGCCATTCCAATGCTTCAAAGATTACTTCTTTTTCAAAACTTATTAGATCTTTTTTCCTCATAAAATTTCCTACTTCAAAATATCCAGAAAACCAATTCTCAATAAACCCTAGAAAGTTCGCTTCTTTGTTGTTTTCTCAAATAGCTATCTTGGATGGAAAGAAAGAGCAAGAAACTCTAGAATTAGCTTGAGCAAATAGATGGCAGGAAAATTCAAATTGCAATTTGGGTTAATCTTGCTCTGATCAGTTAACAGGAGAGCGATGGCGGGGCGATTGACCAATCACCAGAATTAAAAAAAAAAAAGAATCAATAATAATATTTTGAAAGAATTTAAAAAAAATAACGTTGAGGTTTAAGTAATTTGTTAAATCCGATGAAGAAATCAACTTTAAAACTCAGGAAACACAACTAGTTCAATATAGATTGGTTTAAATCATTTTCGGCCTTTTATAAATACTATACAACGTCGTTTAATATAGGTCGATTTAAGTAATTTTCATAAGTAATTTTTATATACTACTAAGTATTTTTATTTCGTACAATTATAACACGATGATGATAAGTAATAATTGAAATTGAAGATTTTAGACATTGAAAGTGTTTATTTTCTTTTTGGAAAGACAGGCATTAAAGGTTTATTAAGAAAGATTTTTTTATATATATATAAAAGATATTTAATGAATATAAAATATTTGTTAATTTTTTTATCAAAAAATCTAAAATAAATAAATTACTCAAATCTTTTAAATCAAGGTAAATTATCCAATGCATGATAAATCAGACATTTAAAATGATATCAATAAGAAACTTGAACCCAAAACCATAAACATCAAAGTAATCGATTCTTATCAATTGACCCAACCCTTGCTAGTTAAATTAGTAACCGGCAATTACCTTCTATTTTACACAAAAGATTGTAATGACCTCAAAATCCAACCGTCAATGCAATAATATGACAAATGACATCCGCATGAAGCAAAAGACAATGAAATTTTGCTTAATGCTAACTTCCAAAATCTTTTAGACATAAAAAACATTGTCCCAATTTTACAATCATTTCAAGTTCAATCATGTTAAATTTACAGCATTTGTTCAAATGATTCAAGTTTCAAAAGTTCATCACAAAACACCTCCAATTAGAATCAGCATATTAAAGCAAATCCAACAAAAAGGTAGGTGAAGTCCATTAAGAATCATCCTCTGGGTCTGCAGCCTGAAAAAAATGCATGAAAAAACTTATTCAAGTTAATTGATATAACCTAGACCTGATGCATGGCTAGGGCGACAAACTGGTACAGTACAAAGATTTCAAAGGGCCAATATGCAATGATGAAACCACATTTTCGTTAATGCCATTGACAAGTTAAAATTATATGCTCATGAAGATCTCTAGAACAAGAGACAAATGTATAAAATTTCAAAAGAAAACGGTTTTTCAATGTTATATACTGCAAATCCTACATCATATGTGCTAATAACATTAAACACATTTACAATCAAACTAGAAATGCATCAAATGCTACTTCCAAAAATATCCACTTATTTTCAACACCATAGTAGCTAATGCAATTCTGCAACCTTGTTTTGTTTTCAAACGGTTGAGATACCATCCCTAGGTTTTTGACATTTAATTTTCTATCAATTAACTATGGATACTTTCAGAGTATACATGAAACGAAATTCTTGCTTAGGGCCCCTCATTTTCATACCCCACTTGGCCACAACATCGTGTTTTTTATTGGCACTTGGTACGTTTCTGATTCCATGCTAATTAGCAAACATGTCCAATAAAAGGTCCCAACTAAATATGTACAACAAATATGGAGAAAAAAGAAAGGCAACTCATTGGATCTGATGGTTGTAGCTGCTTTGATTACTCAGGAGATTTGGGAGTATCATGAAACTGTTATGCATTCAGCACAGCAGTATGACATAAGACAGAAATCAGCTACCATTAAGTACAGATAATACCAGAAGGTTACCTGTTCAAAACCCAAAATATTTGAAGATCCGCCGATCTTCTCAAGAAACTTCTCCATGTTTGAAGTCATTCGAGCTATGTGGGTTTCCATACGTGCATATTTTTCCTCCATAGCCTCCATTTTCACTACCATCTTGCGCACCTCTTCATTTGCTGACTTTTTGGCCTCAGAAGCAATCATCACAAGGTCATCACGGCTAGGTCTTGGGCCAAAAACATCAGCACGAGTGGGACCCAGTCCATAAGTTCGCACACGGTTGTGTTTTTCTGCTCCCATAACTTGACACAAGGTGTCATTTGATTCATCACTACATTGTAAGGTAATCCGTTTGTTAGCTTCTTGTTCACGGATCTTCAACTGCAAAAATAACCCAACTTTTTAGCTTACAAAGTTTATCAAAGACTGGACAGATGCAAACGTATTTACATATAACTCTGCAACTAATAAAAGAACAGTTGAATTACTTATACATACAATAAATTCTGCTGCAGTCTCATCAACTGGCTGTCCATTCTTACGTGTATGTGTTAATATATAAAGCTCAGCTCTAGTTGGCTCCTTCCCATCAGGCCTCTTGTTTTGCTATTTCCGCAATGACAGCAAAAACTTCATTCAATATGGCTTTCAAAACAAAATATGCAACATGTATGCAACTATAACTTCAGAAACACGAGAAATCACCTCCTCCTCTCGTATCCTTGCATAACTCTTAGTCCCTGATGAATGTGAACCCTTCTGTTTTAAACGGTTAGCCCTATTTGTAGCACAACGCTTCTACAAATAGCATATACAGACAACATGGTTCCACATTTTTAATGTTAGAGAGGAAAATATTGAACTACCAAAAAAATTTGCACCGCAATGGAGGAATTTGAATTTGCAATCACTGCTCAGCATATATACCTTTGTGTCATCAGAGTTCCAATATGAGATAAGACTTGGCCATTGGTCAGGAACAACCCTTGGATCTTGTACCTTCAAGCGCTCTTCATCTGTCTCAAGAGAATCATAATATGCCGCCTTTAGATCTGCCTTCCAGTCCCTCCATTTTGTACCAAGAGACTGCATGACCCAAGACTTGCCACTTGGATCAAGGTCAAACTTTGTCTATAGCACATGGAGGAGGCAAAAATGTCACTAAAAAATGAAATGAATATGACAAAAATGACAGAATAAATGTTTATCATGCCTGAACATATTCCCACATTTCCTCTTTGTAAGAATCTGGCATTGCCCTCCAGTGAACAAAATTGAGGGGTGCCCTGTGTCCATTCCGTGCTATAGTGCCCAGGAAGCTGCTTAGCTTGGATGACTCAGGACCAATAGGCTGTCCAAGGTTGTTGAAACAGACAACTATCCGCTCACCATCTGCCAGGTCATTCAAGAAGAGGCAGCGAGTGGGACCTCTTCCTTTCTTCTTCTTTTTGGGGAGCTGTCTCTGTGGGGTCTGCTCAGGCTGTAGTTCGATGGGACCTGACTGAGCCTGATTTTCTTGGATAGATTTGTTGGTTGTGGGGCCAGAAGAATACTTAAGTGCACATCTAATACCCTTCAAGGCAGAATCCGTAAGTGACATGTGTGAAGGTTCTGCAAAAAAGAGAAAAAGCAGATGCACCACCCAAAATGAGAAGCTAATATAGAGAAGTTACATCAAGACTGAAAATATTGACCCATTTGCATGTAGAGGAAACAAACTACAAACTTTCACATTATGTAAGCAACATAACTCATAGCTGATGCAATCCAACAAGTAACTAGAGCCTATTACTGATAATTTATGTTTAGCTTTTATTTATTTTCATTACTGCCTTTCTGTTGGTGCTGATGGTTAAATTATCAAATTGAATAGAAGATAAAACCATCCATATAATGTTATATAAACAAAGGGTAAGTAGATAATTCATAGACTAAGTGACAAAGAATAGCATATAGACAGTACCAATATCTACATTTTCCTGCAGCTGGGATGACTGAGGCTGGCAACGGCTTGCCTGCGGTTGAGGTTGCTGTGGTTCACTAGATTCGCCATTGCTCAATGGGGATTGTTGGGGATGTGATTGGCCAGGGCCAACAACCATGGGATCCACTGGATACCAGGGCACATACCCACTGGACCTTGTATAATCTGCTTGAGGCAGTAAGTGTGAGTGTCTTAGCAAAGTAAAAGAGAAAGTTGGAGATATGTGAAGAAAACGTGTTTGAAGTTCCTCTATAATGGAATCTTTGTGTTTTATTATACATGTGGTTGAAATATGTTCTGCAGATCCTTTGTGGATAAAAAAAGCCCTCAAGTATATAGAGACAAATGATTGAAGAACTTAAATCTTCGAGTAATGCAGAAATGAAGCATGCTTCTGAACTCAGAACCTGTAATGATTGATTATTAAAATAACAAAATAAAGAATCAAGTAGAATGTAATGCCCTGATTACTAGCTAAAAAAGTAGCATAAAGATCACCGAGAATCTGAACTCCTTTACTCACTTACCACCATCAGCAACAGCATGCAATTGAGAGGGTTGTAGCTGGCTGATGCTCTGCTGGTGCTGCGGCAGACCATACGGCAGTTTGTAGCTCAACTGGGGCTGTTGTGAATGCGAATGGCTGGGTGGCCCACCGTAAATGGAGGCTGTGGGACCCATAGATGGGTTCTTTTTGTGTTTCGATTTAGATGCATGCTTTTTATTTTTTGGGGTTATGTCTACAGGAGGCTGAAAATGTGAATATCCTACAGCAAAAATGACAAAAGAAAAAAATAAAGGAGATAAAGAGAAATGAACACAGCTACATGGTAGTTGTCACAGAATGAAGGAAGATAGATGAAAATCAAGAATATAGACAAATAAACTCAGACCTTTCTGTAATGATGGATTCTCAAATAACAAAATAAATAATCATGGAGAATGTAATGTCCTGATTACAAGTTAACTGGGAGTGCAAAGGTTATTGATGAACTGCTGAGTTCACTTACCACCATCTGCAACAGCATGCAATTGAGAGGGTTGTAGCTGGCTGATGCCGGACTGCTGCTGCAAACCATATGGCTGCTTGTGGCTCAACTGGGGCTGTTGTAAGTGGGTATGACTGGGTGCACCACCGCATATTGAAGCTGCAGGAGCCATAGATGCATTCTTTTTGTGTTTTAATGAAGATGCATGCTTTTTATGTTTTGAGGCTATGTCGTTAGGTGGCTGAAAATGAGAATTTCCTACAAATTTATTATTGGTGTGAGAGAGAGAAATGAAAATAGTTTGATCATAGTTGTCACATACTGATGGCAGATAGATTAAGATCCACAGAGTAAAGTGCAGATTCATTCAAAATTATTGGTGTGATTTAGTGTGTTACACATGCAAGAACGGTGTACTTGTGAAAAATATACATTCATTGACATCTAAGTATAACACCAACAAAGAAAATTATTAGTAGATTAAAATATATAAAGTCATTTACACCTAAGTATAACATAAAAGAAATCATTAGTAGATTTTGAGGTATGGTAAATGATTTCATTAATATGCTAACCATTTCTGCAAAAATTAAAACACAACAACATAATCCCTTCTCAATTTTATAATCCCCTTCACCATACACAAAGATTGAAAGAAAGCATTTATTGGACTCACATGATGGAAGAACTGTTTAGTTTCCAAACCTTCCCTTAATGATTTTAAAAGGTGAACAATCCAAAATTAGCACTTAGAAAAGGGGCATGGTTTGAAATTGAAATACAATTAATATGAGTTTTGAACAGGCAGAAAGGAAAGATAGGCTACAAAAGGCTATGTTAGAGTACACCACAAGCACTCATCCAAGAAAATATTGATAGAAATGATGAATATCTAACCTGCACTGTTACATCCTGTGCAAGCTTGTAATTGGGAGAATTGTGGCTGGTTGGTGCTTGGCTGGGGATGCTGTGATTGACAAGGTTGATGATAACTCACTGGAGGCAACTGGGAGAACTGTGGCCATGCAGTGCTTGGTGGAGGTTGCGGTAATTGATGAGGTTGGCTATAGCTTAATGGAGGCAAGAATGGATGGTGCTGATTGAAGCCCGAATGATCCTGCTGCAGCTGACTGGCACCATCTACTGCATTGCCCACTGGATAGAAGGGCTCATGTCTGCTGTGCCATGTCGCATGGTCTGTCATAGATGGTTCATACAAAATTCCCACTGAATAAAATTAAAACATGAAAATCTAAATACTAAAACAAATCCTCACTATGTATTTATGACTGAGATTTGAGAATCCAACACAAATCTCAGATGCATTACCATATTCATCCAGAAAGCTATTAGTATTAGATGTCTCATCATTGTGCGTATATGTATATATATATATATATATATATACATCCATTTCTCAACATTAACCTACCAATTAAAGCACCTTGAATTAGGTTTTATCTGCCAGACTGCTACGAATTCATACTTCATTAATGAGAAGTTTAATGTCCTGTTGTAATATCCACCAAAAATGATGATGGTATCTGCTGAACTTGAGTTCCAGTATAAAAAACAAATTGAAACTTTCTAGATGTCAGTAAACCTCAACACCAACTATCCACATGTATATTGGATTTGTTACTCATTTGGATACCAGCTGCACTAGTTAGTTCTTCAAGTAAGGGGGAAAATAAAAAAATGTTGAAGTAGCTGATTTAATAGAAAATCTCTTTCCATGAAGCATGTAATGTTTCTCCACAACCTTTTGCAACTCTAGCATAAAACACTTGATAAATTTTGGAGAAAACCACCTGAAAAGTAAGATACAAGTAATAATTGTGAACACATACCATTAATCTTTCTTGATTGTTCAATCCTCAAGCCAGCGGCTGTCCAGTACTTCATGAACTTTTTCTTCACTCGTTTCATTAGATACACTATATACTCTCCCTTCTTGTTGCACTTGCAGCAGTTCTCCCAAATGTATTGTACATCATTAAACACATCTTCTGAGTTCATGTACTTTATGCTATTTTCTAAATTACTACATATTGTACCAAAATCCATCGGTGTATCTATTACATTAGGATAATCCTGTTTCCAGCAAACCACAACCCAAAATGAAGGAAGGAGGAGAGAGAGAAAGTTAGGGAAATTAATCAATATCATTGATTGGAGCAGACAAAATTTTTTAAGTTCACATGTGCTCAAAGGTGCACTGCATGTAATATCATAAATGATAGCCATGTAGTTAAATCTTTTATTTTAAACTTGAGGCAACATGATTGCATAAAGTGAAACCAGTAATTTGCATATCATTTTTAATGATAGCTAACAGAATATCAAACAATAAATATAAGGGAACAAGCAAGCACGCCTTTAAACTTAGGATAGATAAAAAGGTTGACTCTAGTCCCACTATGATCACTAGCATAGATTCAACCCACGGCATGAGGTTATTGAAAGATAATTTGGCAATTCATTCATAAATTACATAGTAATATGTACTTACAGGTTTTCCCAAAGCAACATGATCTACAGGAACATTGAATGATTGAGCCTCATCCATCTTCATAATTTTCTTAATCACCTGTAAGTTGAGAAAAATAGCAAAATAAGTACTACAAAATTCATTAAATCTTTCAAACAGATTAGGAACAACAAACCAAGGAATTTTTTCTTTCCTTCTCAAGCATTCAAAGTGCCAATTAAGAAAGGCCTAAAAATTAGCATTGATCAGGATTCTCAGCATACCTCCAATGCAGCTTTCAGTTCTTTCTTATTGTAGCGAGGATCATGCTGAGGCATTTTAAACTCTTCTTGCTTTTTACTAGAAGAACGCAACACCCTAGACGACTTAACATCATCTTTCTTCTCTTTCTTTGGCAATTTACTTGCTTTCTGCTTTCCATTACTGTGCCCCTTAGTTGATTTCCTATATCTCCTATCAACCGATGATGAGTCATCAGATTTAGTTTCTTCAGCGCTAAATGACTCATTACTGTCACTTGAAGAGGACGATGACGACGACGAACTACTCTTGGCATCATCAGAATCATGTTTATCAACTACTTCCAAATCATTTGAGTCCGCAGACACCGAACCTTCTTTGTTATTTTGGTTAATAAAAGTTAAAAATGCTTCCTCATTTTGGCTTACTGCTTTTTCATTTTGGCTCTGTGCCTTTTCACTTTGGTTCACTGCTTTTTCATTTTTGGCCAATGCCGCTGATCTTTTGGCTGGAGGTTTCCTGCATGCTCGTTTTCGCTTCGTCCTCATTCTCTTTCAGCTACTTAAAAGCTTCAAACACTTAACTCTTTTCGCTTCAAATGTCGTTACAAAAAGCCGATTCTTTAAGTTTCAGCTCATGGTTGTGCACTAGAAAGAAAGCAATAAAACCGGCAAGATAATAGGAAAATATTAAATGGATTAACAGAAAAAAAAATAAAGCAAAATTTGATCAAAAATAAAAGATTGAAAACTATTATTAAAAACCTAAAAGCCTAAACTAAAAAAAAAAAAAAACAGTTCTCTAGAATGCAGCAATCTCTCGCTAATAGGTTACCTTAAGATCTTCAAGTTTTAGTAATAAGTAACTGAGCGATCAAAGCGATTGCTTGATTTTACATTGAAATTAGAGAGAGAGAGAGAGTTACCTTCGTCTTATGAAATGCAAGTGAAACAGAGAAAGGAGGTTAGGGGATGCCATCAGTGCTGAAGTGAGAGCGAGAGTAGAGTTTAGATGATAATCGCGACGGTCATGGATTCACAGGCGCCGCTAAAAGTAGAAGAAAGTAATTAACCTACAAAAGATTTCAGCGACAGTTTCAGATAAATAATTTATTTTCCATGCCGATGAGGAAAAAACTGAGACAGAAATCTGACGGTCACGATTGATTGTTTTCAGTTTCCTGACGCAATTTCTTTTTTCACTGACAATTTGGGTGCCCCACGGGCCACGGCCCACGCGTTGGAAAAATGGTAAAGATGGAAAATATCAGTTTTTTTTTTTTACCAACAAAACAACCGCAAATTTTCTAAATTAGATTTTTATAAAATAAATAAAAGTTTTGAATCTTTTGACAATTTTCCAATATCTTGATTTGTGGTTCTTTGGGATATGAAGCCGGTTTATTGCGACGATTTCCTGGTTATTCTTTCCAGGGACATCTTTTGTATTGTCACTAATCAATTCTATAAGCGTTTGTTCTGATTTTTGTAATTAGGTTTATTCCTTTTAAGGCCATTTTTCGTATTGCCATAATTCTAATAACATAAAATTATATCATTTCCTTGTGAATTTCTTCTTAGGCTAATTTTCTTTTGGTATCAAAGATTCAATGGGAGTTTTTCAACCGTCTATTTTTACCGGGATAGAGATTGGATTTATTTAAATTTGAATCCAAATTTTACAATTATATTACAATTTTTTCTTTAATCGTTCTAAGAACTTGTAAACTTTTTTTTATTATTTCATTTTGATTGGAGGTGTTCATTTAATCAGTTTAATTAATTTTAAATTAAATTATTTAAATTAAATTAAATTATTTTATTAATTAATTTTTAAAATTATTTTATTTAATTTAATTCAATCGATTTGGATAATATTTTAGGTTAATTAAATAATTAATATATTTATATTATATTATATTTTAATTTCTTAATTTTTTATATTTTAAATAAATTAAATAAAATTATTCAATAAAATATTCAAATACAAATGTATTATATTAAAAATTCTAATAATACATGAAATAAAATGATTTATTTAATGTATTATTTATTTTATATTTGATTTTTTTATATTTCGATTAAAATTTTGATTAATTTAATTCAAAAATCATAAATTTTAAAAAATTAATTTTAAAAATTAATAAAAATTAATTTAATAATTGATCGATTAATTAAATTAAATTAAATTAATTGATTAATGATTCGAATCGAATTATGAACACTATATTTTTATTCATCTCTCTTCGATAACGAAGATTAAGGGCAAAAAGGACATATTACCATCAAATATCCCAAATGACAACGAAAGCAATTATCCGTGCGGTTGCTAGCATCTACGCACTTGACACCAATTGCGCCAATCTATTAATATATGCTTAAATTAAGGCTATGTTTGGCAGATATTTTTATTTTGTTTTCGTTTTTTTAAATAAATAAAAGGGGAATAGAAAAATATTAACTTATATAAACTTAAGTAATTAAAAGAAAACTATAACATTAAGACATTAAATAATGAATTAAGGACAATTTAATTACAATGCTTAATCAAATCTATAAGCTATATCCCAATTATATGGCCTCACCATAATACGCGAAACATGAGCTTCCTTATGCAAGGGGTTTAGGAAATTTGTCTCTTTTTTGTAAAATATGTCAATTTTTTCATTATATACTTAATTAATTTAAATCTCGGTTTTAAAATACTGTGATGCATTTTTTTTTTTTTTTTACATATATGAGATGTTGTTTATTTATATATATTATCAAAATAATATATGTTTTTTAAATATTTTAAACTATATTTCAAAAACTACATAACTTTGAAATCATATAGTTTATATTCATATTGAATAAATAAAGTTTAAAGGTTTAAAAAAAATTTTGGAGTGAAATTAGTAAAAAAAAATTATTCAAGAATGTATATTACAGTTATCTAAAAATATATGTGTAAAAAAAACAATTAACATTAATTTTTATATATTTATATAAGATATATAAGATTGTGCATTTATTTTTTTGTTTTTTTAATAAACATAGATCAATCACTCAATTAGCAAGAAGTACCAATGACAGCTTAAGTCATTTATTGACGTGTCAAATGACAACTGGTCGTTGCTCTTCTTAAACCACCATTCCGTTTCCACACTAAAAACACTTGAATTTGAAGCAAATTCCCCCCATTCCCGCTCGCTATCCAAATTCCAAAATCCAACTTTCCCTCGAGAAAACGTTTCCTTTTCTCTTTCCTCCTTCGGAATAGCAACGTCTCTTATTTTGTCCCTCCAGAAAAGAAAGAAATCCGGAACCCTCTCTGTTTTGTCTCGAGACTGCGCCGTAAATGGCGAAGGGTTCGAAACGGAAGGTCAAGGAGGTCGATGAATCCATTGATTCAGAGTCCGAAACTCAAAACGGAGGTTTGACTACTTTGTTGGATCCTCAATCGAAAAAAGCCCGAAAGGTTGTGCCCGACTCCGACCTCTGTTTCGTCGGCCCACCCATTTCGGCCGGTGAAGCCCGACGACGATGGCCACTGAGATATCAGTCAAACGTTAGCAACATTGAAAGGAACATTGTCTTTTTCCTTTTCCCTTTTACTCCAATCTTGTTTTTGCCCTAATTTCTTTTGGCTGTTCTTTTGTGATTGCAGAATAAGGTTAAGAAGCAGACTGTAACTGAGACTTCAAATGAGTAAGTTCCTTTACCTGTAAAGAACCTAAGTTGATAGCATTCGTTGAAAAGCTGCGATTCCTTTTAAATGATTTACAAATCACAAGCAAGAATGGTGGCACGCTGGTAATCTATATTTAAGTAATTTATTTAAATATAATCTTATAAAAACAGGTAATGAGTGTTTGTTTATTTTGATTTATGATGTTATCATAATTAATTAATACCTTATAGTAAGGGTGTAATTCAGTTGAGACAGTGCTGAGGAGTTTGAACTCGATTTTGAAATTCGTTGTTTAAAATTTGGTTTGAACTTGATTAAGTTTTAATTTTTTTCAATTTAAAAAAAAAAAAAATCAAGTTATTCCATCTCGTTCAGTTAGGGTTGTTTAATAAAAAGAAAGTTTGATTATCATGTTTAATTTCAAACTCAATTATATGATTGAACTTGAAATTCAAATTGATAAATATAAGAATAAAATAATAATTTTTTAATTAAAATAATAAAATATATTAAAATTTAAAAGTTTAATTAAACTTGTGAGCTATTCAAATACTCAAACTTGAATGACTCGATAAATCGAATTGTTTGATCTTAACATTAATTGAGTCCAATTTTAATTTTATTCAAATCAAACCAAGATAACTTTTTGAGCATTGATATATGATTTACAACCCTCCCTCACACATTCGTACCTTTTAAAATGTTACTTTATCATTGCACTTTCCCAGGCCAAATCAATCAGTCATGTCCAGCGCATGGAAAAAAATTTGCAGAACAGAAAGTTGTGAGCCAATTAACAGTGGGATAGATTGAGTTGTATAATTTGCCTTCGCTTGGTTGATATTGGGTTTTCATTTTTTTTTCACAGGAGTGTACGTGTTTGTACGGTTAATGCTTTTATGTTCTTAAATTTTAGTTTTTGTTTTTTTTTTCCCCAATTACAAGTGAGGAGAAAGAGGTACTACAAGCAAGGAATCATTATGCAGAGGCTATGGTTGATGGCTGTCTCTACAAATTGGGTGATAATGCTTATGTTAAGGTATGCTTTTGTATATTAAATGGTTTCTGTCATTTTATTTTTGAATTGCATTGTGTATAAATTTTATGAATAATCTTTTTGTTTTCAGGCGGAAGATGGCAATCTTGATTATATTGCTAGAATTGTTGAATTGTTTGAAACAATTGATTTAGAGTCATTTTTTAAAGCGCAGTGGTTTTATAGGGCTGAAGATACGGTAAGAACGTTTGTTTTAATAAAGCTTGGTGGTTTTGATAAACCTGATATTTGTCTCTTAGTATAGCTTTTTTAGAGTATTCGTTATTCAATATTTGGATTTTTTTAGGTTATTAACAAGGATAATGTCCATTTGATTGATAAGAGACGTGTGTTTCTCTCGGACATCCATGATGACAATCCATTGAAATGTATCATATCCAAAGTAGAAATTGCTCAAGTTGCAGCAGATGTAAGCCTAATACTTCCACCATACTAATTCTTCTTAATATACTGATTGATTGTTTGTTATAGATTGTTAATATAAGTTGAAACAATTTTTTTCTTACCTCAGAATGACTTGGTTGCAATGGAGAGAAAAATCCCGCAATCTGGTTTTTATTACAATATGAAGTATTCCTTAGTCCTTACCGCACTTAACATTTAAAAATATATTCATCGGTAATATGTTATTATTTTACTGATTTGGAGACTACTTCTATTTACAATTAAGCAACAAGTTAACTAAATAATACTTGTCTTCTATTTCCTTTGTTGATGTTTCTGCATTTTTTATTGATTTTTTGGGTTTACTTGTTTTATTAACTATCAAAATTTTATAATGCAGAAACTTCAAAAAGAGATAGTGATACATCATCAGAAGTTTCTGATGAATGTGGCTCAAGCGAGTGTGGTTCAAGTAATACTACTTCAAAAGTTCGGAGGTTTGATAAGTCACAGAAATATTTGCTAGATTTATATTCTGGTTGTGGGGCCATGTCCACCGGCCTTTGCATGGGGGCCTCCTTATCTGGTGTTAAGATAGTCACAGTAAGTTAATAAATGAAGTTTTGAAACATTTGCACTATGTTCTTTAGTTTCTTCATTTCTAGTTGTTATTTGATTGAGTGTATGTTCCCTGCTTTTGCAGAGGTGGGCTGTCGACATAAATTCCTATTCTTGTAAAAGTTTGCAATGGAATCATCCTGAAACTAAGGGAAACTGTATGATATTAGATAATTATTAATATACCATTGATTATTCAGCAGTGACTATATATTCCCACAATGACAATTAGGTGAGAAATGAAGCAGCAGAGGATTTTTTGTGTTTACTGAAGAGTGGCAAAAGTTATGCCAAAAGTTCTCATTGCTTGAATCAGACAAACCACTTAAAAATGGTTATAGTGAAACTAGTGATGAAGAGAATAATGGTGACAAAGGATATGAAGAAGAAGAACAAGAACAAGAACAGGAACAAGAAAAAGAAAGAGAAGATGATAGTGGCTCTGATGATTCCTCTGAAGAATTTGAAGTTGAGAGATTATTGGGTATTTGTTTTGGTGATCCTAATAAAATGAAGAAGCAGGGATTGTATTTTAAGGTATCATTATATATTTAAAGAATGAACAATTACTACTAACTGATGATAGTTCGTTGTCATATTTTGTCTTCTTTTATTTTAGTATCTTAGTGGTGGCTTTTGGTATGATTATGTGCACTAATTAGTACTTGCGTGTAGCTTTTTTTGGACTAATGTTTTTGAATTTTTATTGTATTGTATTTTAAATATAGGTGCGTTGGAAAGGTTATGATGCAAGTTATGATACTTGGGAGCCTATTAAGGGGTTGAGGTAATCTGTTTTATTGCATTTACACCGACCATAACTTTCTCTTACCTTGTCAATTAATTTATTTGATGTATATTTATTTTTTCAGTAATTGTCAAGAAAAACTGAAGGAATTTGTGAACAAAGGGCACAAGTCAAACATATTGCCTTTGCCTGTGAATATTTTTATGTTATATGAACTTTCCAGATTAGTATGGTATCTGTAAGATATCTTTTTCTATTTTACTTTCAGTATATTGATAATTTATTTCATTTTTATCTTTTGCTTCTGTAGGGAAGTGTTTATTTTATATGTAGAGGGCCCCCATGTCAAGGCGTGAGTGGGTTTAATCGTTTTAGAAACCCAAATGCACCATTAGAGGATGTAAAAAGTAAGCAGTTAGTTGTATATATGGACACTATAGAGCATTTAAAACCAAAATATGTATTAATGGAAAACGTTGTGGACATATTGAAGTTTGCTAAGGGTTTTTTGGGACGGTATGCCATAGGCCTTTTAGTTTCCATGAATTATCAAGCTAGGATGGGGACGATGGCTGCGGGATCTTATGGGGTTCCACAGTTTAGAATGAGGGTTTTTCTGTGGGGTTCGCATCCTTCAGAGGTAAGTATTTTAAAATCGTATAATATGATGGCATCCTAAGATAATTGTTTTAATTTTTTTTTTTTTTCCTTTAGAAATTGCCTCAATATCCATTGCCAACTCATGAGGTTATTGCTAGAGGAGCTGTTCCAAATGAGTTTGAGGTGGTATATATGCTGATTAACTTAAATAATTATGGTTTTATAGAAATAAAATTTCATTAATATATAGTTATATTATTCTAAGTTAAATCTATTTATTTTGAATCTAGGAAATACATGTTACATATGATAAAGAAGGTTCTTGTCAGTTGGAAAGCACTCTTAATCTTGGTGACGCAATTTCTGATCTTCCACAAGTATGCGTTTTTTCTCGATGTATAATTCAGTAGACTTTGAAATCTTTTATTTAAGTTTTTTTTTTAACATCATTTTAGGTTAGCAACGATGAGAGTCAAGATCAAAGGAAGTATGGGGCGACTGCACTTACAGAATTGCAAAAATTTATTAGATTGCAAAGGAAAGGTTAGTTTCCTTTCGCTATATGTTGTCCATGTACTCTGCAGTTTGTAATTGAATGCTGATGATTGCGAATTAGATCTTTTTATATATTATAGGTATTATCATTGAAGTGAAACTGTTGTCCACGTGTTCTGCAACTTACTACTAAGTTTTTGCTCTGTGTAGATGTCATAAATTTAGCAGTTGATGCTCGACATGCATCATCCTCAGGAATGTTATTGATCATCAGCCCTTGCAATTGACTGCTGATGATTGTGAACGTGTTTGCCGCATTCCCAAAAAGAAGGTATATGCACTTTACTTATTTATAGTTCTTGGGATCAGCATATTTTCATTATAGCTAGGATTTTGTTTTTATAGGGAGTGAACTTCAGGGACCTACTTGGTGTAGTAGTTAATGAAAATAATACGGTAGAGGGGGACACAACGATGGACAGAGTGATGCTCAAATCTGGGAAACCATTGGTATTATGCCATGCATAATTTATTATATTATTATTAAATTCACTTCCGTACAAGTTTTCCCTTATTTGTTCATTATTTTAATAGGTGCCAGATTATACCATGAAGTTTGTTAAAGGGAGGTCAACCAAGTAAGTGTTATATAACTATTACTATTGAGTTCTGACTTTTTCTACAAGCTTATATTCCGAACAACTTTACATGATAATTGGCATTTAGGCCATTTGGTCGTTTGTGGATGGATGAAATTGTTAACACAGTGGTAACAAGGGCTGAACCTCACAAGCAGGTTTTTTCTCCTGTTTTCATGTCTTGGGGTTTACAGACTTAAGTATTTGCCGTGTTATTCAAATATACTGTAGTGCTTACATTAAAGCAAACCATTTTGGCAGAACGTCGTTCATCCTTTCCAAGACAGGGTACTCACAATCCGCGAGAATGCCAGATTACAGGGTTTCCCAGACTGCTATAAGCTCTTTGGGACTACAAAGGAGAGGTTTGTTGAGTAAAAGTTCATGTTTATTGGAGGTTAAGTCTATTATTTCAAAGTTTATTTGGTACTGAAGAATATTGCTTGCCGTAGAGAAATACATCTTTAGTTCTATGATCTCTTGGTTCATTTCAACATGTTAAAGTGGCAAAGTCTAATTGCACACATCCTCTTATGTTTCTGTTTTCAGATACATACAAGTTGGAAATGCGGTTGCTGTTCCAGTTGCTATTGCATTGGGATACGCATTTGGTTTGGCATGCCAAGGATTATCTGATGACGAGCCTTTGATGGCCCTTCCTTTCAAGTTTCCAAATTGTCTTGCTCGGTCTTCACAAATGGGAGATGATTCTGATTGAGGAAGTTCCAAGCAAATACCATTTGGTACTTTTGCTTGAATGCGGAAGCACACCACAGTGTCGGTTTCCTTCAACACGATCGAGCAGCTTCTTTCATGGTTCCCACTTCCCACTACATCTTGCTGTTAGAATGAGATTATTAGGTTTCATTGATTAGGTTATGGCGGGACAAAGATACTCTTATTATTTTGAGTTTTTTTTTTTTTTTTTCGATTGATGATTAAAGCTAATGTTACAACAATCTCTGCACTAGGTGATAAGGAATTTGATGAAGAGTAAGAGTGATAATGACTTAATTCGAATTGAATTTAATTTGATTTTTTTTAATATTATATAATATTATAAAAATTTTAATTTTATTAAATTTGAATTAATTTTTTATTTGATTTAAATTTAATCGAATTGAATTTTATTATTTCAGTTCAATTTGATTTATTAATTTATAATTTTTAAAATTTTTAAATATTATTTTAATATAAAATTTTAATATATTTAAGTAGATTTTAATATAAAATTATTATTTTATTTTATAAAAATTTAAAATTAAAAATTATATAATTTGATTTGTTCAAATTTTTTTTTTTTTGATTTAAAATTTGATTCACATTTAATATATATATATTTAATAATTAAATTTAATTTAAATCGAATAAAAAAATTTAAATTCAAATCAAATTGAATATTATAATTTTAAATTAATTTTTAAATATCTTAATTTTTTTTTCTCATCATTAGGAGTGTAGACGAAACTTACTTTATTTTCATTTGTATATCACCTGATGAGCTTCGTTCGTTGCTTTCCCTAGGAAATAATGGCAAGACCAAAACAATAATAGCTCCAAAAAATTTAAAGGATAAGATGGGTAAACTCAACAAACATGCTCTGCAATGCCCGACGTATTGCATTGTCTAATCGCTATGACTCATTTGTTTCAAGCTCACAACAAACTTGGGACTCGTCTTTCTTGTTGGGTAAACCCCAAAAACATGTTTTACATTGCCCAACATAAAATCCTTGGTGAATTTAATCATACTTATATGTCTTGGTTAAGATCTGTTGACAAGAACTTATGTTATATATGTGAGGATCATTGATCAACACTTGTCCATTTAATTATGTATCGTTAGTTTAATATTTTAATTTTGATTTTTTATTTATAATTAAATTGAAATGTTATGATCAATTGATATTATTTTTCTTTTGGAGTTTTTAAACTTTATGCTTTTAGGATAAGAAAGCAACATGTAAATACCTATTTAAGCATGTTAAGTTGTAATCTTTTGCCTCCAAAATTGATGATTAAATAGATTTAATAATTTAAAATATGATATAATAATATGATATAAAAATAATAAAAATAAAAGACATGGAGGTTATACAATTTTAAATTTTTAAAAAATTATATATAAATTTAATAAAATAAAAAAAATTATACTTTATATTTTTATGATAATGCAAATTGTAATACATAAATTTTATATAAAATATGATAAGAATAAAATGTTTTACATGCGATGACACAAGATTAAAGCTCTTATTTTAAGTCGTTCATTTTTTACTAAAAAATTTAAAATATAGAATACAAATTGTATCAAATGAATTCTTAATTTTTACTAATACACACAAAGGTGCTTAGTCTTATACGTTACTAAGTAAGCCGTCTTAGCTCAGCCGGTAGAGCGCGTGGCTTTTAACCACGTGGTCGTGGGTTCGATTCCCACAGACGGCGCATTTTTCGGAAAATAAATGTTTTCCACTTTTTCCAAGGACCACTCAGTCGGAAATCCCAACACTCATATATCCTTTTGAATATTTCGTTATCTTGGCTTAAGGTTTCGTGTTCAAAATCTGTCTCTGCAACTTCGTCCGATGGATTGCCAAACGTCGGCGGCAAAGGCCTCCGCCTCTCCTTACGATCTTCTCTTCCAAGCACTCGCTCTCATCCCCGTCTTCCATTATTTCTTGGCCGCATTCTTCATATTCCTCATATTTCTATACAATTTTTTTGAGATTCATTTTCTTCACGATTTCCTCACTCTTTTCAGAGGCGATCACGTTACGTTAACTTACAACTCTCGCTCCGTCCTCTGCCAATCAGTTCTTTCCAGGTGTCAGATACTCCACGAAAGGTAATTACTATTAATCACTTGAAATTCAAATTAAAAGATTTTTATTTGTTTGTTTGATTGTAATTTTTAAAATAATGGAGCAGGTACTCGGTGACTCCATGGCTTTCTAGTCCTCATCTTCAGACAGCTTTCTTGAGTTTTTTCGGAAGCGCTCCACCGGTTACTTATAGGCGGTTAGTTCAATTCTTTCCCTATTTTCAACTTCATTGTTTTGGATAAACATCAATCTACTATGAACTTATGATTCTCAGACATTTATTCCATGCTACGGATGGTGGAACGATTGCTTTGGACTGGCTAACTTTTTTCGATGGTCAGTATGTTTTAAACCTGGCAATTCGTTTATTCCTGTCGTGTTTTACACAAAAAGTATGCGTCATAATTGGTTTTGACATGAAAACTTCAAATATAATTTTTTGATTTTATAAACCCATATATGGTTTTTGTTAAAATTTTAAATTTTGTTAATTTCGTATATTTTATTCATATCTTTGATTTTGTTAAATCCATATGTGGTTTTTGTTAAATTTAAAAATCCCCTTCGTGTCTTTTATTCATATCACTTTCGTGTCGTGTGTCATTATGTCGTATTTTACAGGATCTAGTACTTTTATTCCTATAAGTTATTGAAGTTTAGGAACGGGATGAAAGTTCATCTTTAAAATGATATATATGGCCTTTTTTTTCAATATTATGCATCAGTGCTGTAACTAATTACAGTTGTGGAGGGTCCGTCCCGCATGATTGATAGTTCTGCGGCTATTAAAGGTGCTAAAACTCCAATTGTGATTGTGATTCCTGGCTTAACCAGTGATTCTGCTTCTGCTGTAAGCTTTGTCCATTTCTTTTTCTTTCTATGCTATCTCGCATCTGTTTTCTTTCAAGTACTTAAAGAAGTGTCGCTGTGTGGACAGTATGTGAAGCATCTTGCCTTCAAGGTGGCAAGAAAGGGATGGAATGTTGTTGTAAGCAATCATCGTGGGCTGGGAGGCGTATCACTCACGGTTGGTTTTTTATGGAACCTCTTTTATTTTAGATTCTAAATCATCTGATTCTTATAGAAATTACCAATTTTCAAATTTGTGAAGTCTATTAGATAACAGAATCTTGTCATTTTTTCTAACATATATTTTCAGTCTGATTGCTGTTATAACGCTGGATGGACAGAGGATGTACGGAAAATCATTGACCATATACATTGTGAATATCCGGAAGCTCCTCTGTACGCTGTTGGAACAAGCATTGGTGCCAATATTCTGGTATATGAATTGTTCTGGTTTTCTTCATTTTTACATTTATGGGCATTATGAATGTAGTTAAGCATTAGAACTTGATTCTCACTTTGAAAATTTTCATTCTTGGAAGTTATAAGGCTTCTATTTTTTCTTTTCTAAGCTGTATCAGCTGTGAACATCTATGCATTTTAGCTGAATTGTTGTTACTTGACTTTTAGATTATTTTTTACCTTTTGCTTGGTGTGCTTGTGTCAAGTTAAGTAAAAGAAACTTCAATTCTAATATTGACTTGAATTTTGATTTTCCTGTGTGGAGGATGAATTAAACCATTTTTTCAGTAATGTTTTTATATATCTTTTGATACTGTTTTGACCCTAATGCACAAATTTTCCTATAAAAATAAATTTGGTTCTGATCCAGCCTTTTCAGGTTAATGTATTTGCAGGAATGTCCTTGTCCTGTTTGACAAATGGTTATACATATTGCTGAATTCTTATATATTTTGTTTTTCCATATAAACATTTGTTTCATATATTGTTTGCAAGTCCAAATATATGTTTTTTTTCCTCACAAAGACCTCGTCCCACTTCCAGGTAAAATATCTTGGAGAGGATGGGACTAATAGTCCTCTTGTAGGGGCTGCAACTATATGCTCTCCTTGGGACCTCTTGGTTAGTATCTTTATATCTGGCATACAACCAAATTCTGAACTCTATCTGATCTGCATTTTTTCAATTTTAGAGGGTTGAATCATGTCTATCCTCTTCTTTCTCCTACCACCCCTTCCTGCTTCTCTTTTTAGGTTCTATCAGACATTGTATTATGTAAAATGGAGGAAACGAAAAGAGAAAGATAAAGAGGGAATGATAATAAGTGAATTTGGCTCTTGCTGGATCCTTGTGTTGCGTTAGAGTGTAAACTCAACTATCTCTTTTGGGAATAAAGTCTTGCATTTTGTTGTTGGGGTAATTACTTTCCAAAACCCCACATGAAGGTCCAAGTTTAGAAGAACAAGCAGGGATGGTTAACTGGCATTAAGTTGATCTGGTGCCACATGACCTAACCAAGCAACCAAGTAATTCCTAGCCTTACTTAGGTTATATCAGTTGAACAGTGCTGTTTCGTTTGAGCTTAAAGGAATTGCCATTTCTTAATGCAGATATAAAGGGAGAACACCATCTGCTGCTGTCACTATTGCCAAGTTTATCACAGATGGCTGTAGTGGCAGCAATAGCAGCACTTTCTGCTTAAATCACCCTCACTCACTCTTCTGTCTCTGACTCTCTGTTCTCTTACAAACTCCTAACCAAAATCCTGGCACTTCATCCTCTTTTTGGAAGGTTTTGTACTAAATCTCTTCCTTGCAGATATGTGATAGGTTCATCAACCGTAGACCTGTGCAGAAAATATATGACAGAGTGCTAACAGTTGGCCTGCAAGGTTATGCACAATTGTACGTATGCATAACCTCATAACCTCATTTCACTGTATCAGTTTGATTTACATTATGGTTTGTCTTTACATAATTTACTTTTGTGGTTTCCTGCAGGCATCAGTCTATCTTGTCTCATCTTGCAGATTGGGACAGCATTGAAAAGGTACTCAAAAGTTTCTTTATCTGTAAACAAAGAGAAACCATGCTGATCATGTAGCAGAAGCATTTTATAGGGATAATAAAATATGTTAGAGTGAAATTGCCATCTTCTTTGGCGCAGATAATGTGGGTTCAGTTACTAAATGTTATAGATGTACTAGGTACTAAATAGCAATAAACTCTTGCACCAAATCAAAGTGATGCCTCGTCTCACATTTTCTTCATCCTTCTTTAGTCCTAACTGTGTTTGAATGAATTTTTCAATTTCTTTTTTGTTTTTCTAATGAAAAATCTCCTGATTCTTTTCTGCTTGTGTTTTCACAGTCAAGGTCTGTTAGGGACTTTGACAACCATGCTACTCGGATTCTTGGAAAATTTGAGGTAAAAAATTATTATGTCATTTCCTTTTCATACTTTCAATTACTAATAAGTTCACCTTGCATTCCAGACTGTGGATACATATTATAGGCGTTCAAGCAGTACTAATTATGTACAAAATGTGTCAGTGCCTCTACTTTGTATCAATGCCTTGGATGATCCAGTGTGCACCAGTGAAGCTATTCCTTGGGATGAATGTAGGTAGGAAATAACCTTTGGTGTTATGATTACCACTTTTTAAAAGTTTTTCCCCCGTTTTGTGGTACTTAGACAAATAAACAGTGTGTCTATTTCCTTTAGAGTCAAGAAACAGAGGAATCATTTGATTCTTTAATGTGTTACATGCTTATATTGCATTTCTCTTTTTATACAATTAACACACCAGTCACGGCAAGGCAGGTTATGAGCAGAGTGTATTTATTCTGACATCAAGAAAAAACTAAACTGCTAACACTAAATTGTTGGTAGCATACCCTGTTGGTGTTGCCAAACGCTTGATAATTTTCTCCAGTTGAATGATATAGTATATGTGTTACTAGTGTTCCATGTCAAACATTTAAGTGAACCCACCAATATTCCTTCATTGTCTAACAAGTAACAACATTACACTTTATGTCCTTTAAAAGCTAACCTTCTGTTTGGTTTATTTCTAGGGCCAATGAAAATATTATCCTAGCTACTACGACACATGGGGGGCATCTGGCTTTCTATGAAGGGATAACGGCATCTAGCTTATGGTAATACTATTTTCCTCCCAGGATAGCAATAATTGGCATTTCCAATAATATATATGTAGACAGACACATCTTTACATATTTCATTTTCACTCATCTCACTGGAAAGCTCTGGATCTTCCCAATTGAAGATTATTCGTCTGTTGTTACAAGGATCTCAGCAAAAGAACTTGATAGACTTGGTGATGTTAATGAAAATTAACGAGTGTTGTTCATGATTGAGCATCTAATAGGACATGTTATATTGTTATGAATATAAATACGTGCATATATTTGTCATTTTTTTCTTCAGATGCTAGCTGCTTTGTCTGATCATGTAGCAAGTCGTAACATAAAGTTCATTATTGTCGATTTACATGGGTTCTTATTCATGGAATTGCAGGTGGGTTAAAGCTGTTCGTGAGTTCTTTGGTGTTCTAAGCACTACCCCATTTATAAAAGAAAGACAGGAGGTAAAAGTTTCAGTAGTTTTATTTTGCTGGAAACAGTTGTTGTACTTTGTTTGAACAAAAGTGACATATTAAGCATTGTAATAAAGCAATTAAGCATTCCTTAACAGACAAAAGTTCTAAGAATTAAAGTTCTCTTGTAGCAGCTGAGTAATTGATTTTCCTTAAAATTTCCTTTTAGTGAAAGGCAATCCTGCAATGTCGATATTCTCTTACCTTTTTCCTGTTCTGCCTGAATCGACCTCTCTTTTGTTGCAAAGATTCTCTCCATTGCTTCTCAGCAAGGCTGCCAAATGTGTCAAAATAGTAACTGATACCTTTGGGATCTGATCATTTCGTTCAGAATTCTATGTTTAATGGAATAATTGCTTTGTTATTGAGTTTTAATATTTTGGTGGCAGTTCTTCAAGAGGAATTGAGCCCTTATGTATGATTTAGTTAAATAATTCTACCAAAAAATATTAACAAAATTATATTTATTTGTGGGTTTGTGTGTTCAGTTAACTGCCTATTTCTAAGAACTTTTTTTTTTTTTCGACTTTTATGTTTTATTGTAGATGCAAGGTTCTACTGTGCCCAACCCACTGCAATCTTCAATTGATCAAGGCCCTTATGTGAATGTGATGGGAGATGGAATGGTGGCAGCAATGGGCAATGAACCAATAGATACTTTACTAGAAGACATCTCAAATGAGCATATGATTCAAAGCAAGAAGGATGAAGACACAGTTCCAGAAAGAGGAAGAAGTGTTGAATTGACAGATAAACTATACTCTGAGAAGGACATCTTGCAGCAAGCAGAGCAAAATGCCAAGGATTTGATTGTCCCTGTCCAAGGACGTATTGACAAGCTTTCACGGCGTAGTAGGCAATCAATCTGGTTACTGGCATACATTGCCATCATAACAACTTGGCCATTTGTTGGCTCTGTTCTTCTATCAGTTCTCAAGAGAAGGTTTAGAAAATAGGGTTACTGTCATCGCATGGGATTCTGCTCAATCACGACCAAATACAATCTATAGAATCATTAATGCCTTTTGAGAGATTCAAGAAGTATGCATATTGTTCAATGCTGTAATAATAGGTACTACACTTTACCACCATGGATACACTGATAATCGTAGAAAGCATAAGAAAATAATTACTAATACAACATATGAGCCAAATGGCTTAAACAGAAAGCATGTTGAGCAGTGGGGTTTCCTTTGATCATGTTTGGCTATTCCATCTCAATTACCTTTCCAGGATAATTTGATCAAGGTCACAAGTACTGCCCCCATATTGAGCCATGGGGGTTTCCTCTGTTCTTGTTTCGCTTCTCCAAATATTTCGAGCTCAACAAACCAAAAGCAAAGATGGTAGGCAAGGCAGATGTTTTGATAGGGCCGTCAATATGTCGAGAAATAAAAGAATAATTGATGGCTGTAAGAATAAACTGAAAGAAAGCACAAGCAAATCCAATGGTCTCTCAGAGGGTACCGAAAGGCTTGTCAGTTCGTGGACAATAAAACCAAGGTACATTGTCTCTCCACTCCCAACCAACTCTTTCCTTTTTACCTTCGCAAATGAGCTCACCAATGCAAGCCATCAATGCTATGAACGATATTAGCATCACAGATGATATTTGGAGGAAAGCTGACCGAAAACCGCTGAAGGAAGTTCCAGAATAAAGTTGGTGATCAGGAAAACCCATGCTAAAACATCCTGAATGATGAATTTGATTATATAGATTTTAGACTAGACACTGTATATATAACTGAAATAATAATGATGTTGGGGATTCAATTTTGACCTTTAAACTCGAGCCTTCTATCTGATGTGCCTCATGGTTGTTACAGCCTCTGTTTGCCTCAAAATGATTTTGATCTTGCTCAAATACAACATCAACATCTCCAACAATTAGTCTCTTCCGTTTTTTGGACGAAGGTAGCAACCATTGCCAGTTACCACTTCTATTTCCTGTCTGCCCGAATCTGCTTCAACAACATTAGCAGTCGCTGGCATTCCTATCTGTTCTTCGTAATTTTCGTTGTTGGAGTTTGCTTCAAGAACATTCAGCCGTTTCTCGTTATAGTCGCTGCCAACATTTGTTTCATCAGCATTCTGAAGTAGCCTTTGCCAATATTCGCGGTGGTTGATGGCTGGTCCTCCAAGCAGACATCTCCATTCCGGTTTTAGATTAGCGTTGAAGCGGCTGTCCAAGGTACGTCTTTCAACAGATACGTATTTCAAGGTACGTTTTTCAAGAAGAAACCGTTGTATCTCCTTATAGAGGTTGGAGTTGATCAGGTTCATGGTGATCGTTTGTCTTGCTATGACTACAAAGAATTTACGTAGGTGATATGCGCAGGGAGTCAAATTCACCTAGCAAAAATGAATTTGCTCATCTGATTCTTGTTCTTCCCCTGACTTTCAGGAAAATTTAGTCTAGAAAAATGGAAGTGAAACGCACTTACCCGGAAAAAGAGGAGAGTGAAAAGCAGCTACCTGGAAAAAGAGAGGAGAGAAACTTCCTTTTCACAATTTCAGTAAGATAGAAACATCCATCTTGTCTTGTTGCTTTAAAATCTTCTCTCTGTGGAGTTTCATGGAACGTATCCAATCAAGCCAACGCCTTGGGGGCTGGGGTTTGGGGGACTTAGAGTGGGGGACCCGTTAAAAATGTGTTAGCGTTTTACGATAAGAAAAACTTGCCTTTCTCCATTTCAGCATGATAGTAACATCTATCTTCTTGCTTTAAAATCTTGTCTCTGTTGAAGCACACACGATAAGCCCAACGTAACAGGCGGTAGGAGCTTTTAGCTCGAGACGTGCCATATGAGCCAGGGAAGGATGACTAGGAATGGTCGGATTGCCCTGTTTCTTTGGCTTTCTCTGGGGCAGAGTGGGCCGAAATAGAATGAGATATGCTACCCGCGGTTTTAACAGTACAATTTGGATATTATTCTATCAAATGTTTTTTTAAGCACTCAACAGTAAAATTACATGTGACCAACATAATTCAGCCAATAGTTGATCCAAGTTAAAAGAACATTACACTTCTCTGAAAATTTTCATTTCCTAGAAGTGCCCGATCAACAACATCTACGATTGGTTTCACCGTAAACTACCAGCCAGAGGCAAAACCAAGGAAATAATCAGAACATCAAAATCATTACTTGAGAATTGCTCCAAAACTGCTGAAATGTCATCCATGGAGGAAATTTTATGAAGTTTCTGAAGCACTGTCTTCTGGTACATTCAAAACCCACAACCGTGTGGTGACGGTGGAGACCAGCTAAGTTAATGAGAACTAAAATACATTCTCAGTGAGGATATAGAAACCAAGAAACTAAGAACCTGAAGAAGCCAAGAATGTCCAACTACAGTAAATATTAACACTAAACATTTCCAGCTGGGTGTCCATTGAAACTTGAAAACATCTAATGTGCACTGGTCATCTTCATTCTTGGCATTGCCTTCTTCATCTGACGAGCACGATCTTTTGCTTCTTTCTTACGAATAGCTTCTGCACTGAGCTTTGCCTCAGCCTCCTAACATCTTTTTCCTCTCTTTCTTTTTCTGCAAGGCTTCTTGCCTAGCATTTTGAAGTTCTTTGTATGCCTCTCGAGCAGCCTTCACTCTAGCTGCTTCAGTTTTGGATCGAGCCTGCAAAAAGGAAAAAAAAAAAACAATTTCAAGAACACTACCAAATTGGCATATATTATATATTTGATGCATAAAGTAATTTCCCGCTGAACCACCTCTGAACTGAGCTTGTACCGCCCAATTAGATCGATGTAGTATGGTATGAGAGCCACCAAGCGAGTCATGTCAGCCATGTGGTTGGCATCTGGGAGTGCAAACCTAAACAAGAGCATCTTCTTGTGTGTGCCAGGATGTTGATCTGAAACATGCATCAAATGAAATCCTTTCCATATTTCTCAAAAGATTTGTCACCAAAAACCTGCAGGTTATAATTTATAAATCACAAATAATTTTGCCTTGGTTAAAATAACTGGCAAAGCTGCCATGCAAATTTGGAGCAAATCTCAGCAGAAAAATGAAAGGTTAATTACAATGGGCCCAAGTACATAGTATGAACAAGTAAAATAATACAAGAGAAACACAAAATGAACCAGATACCATGGTCGTATCATCTTCATTAAACTCAAATGTAAAAATAATGAATTCATGAATCCAAATAAAAATAATCATGTTCATAAGTATTATTGTTGGGTTCCAACTTGAAACCTAGCTATTCAACAGCATTATTCACATGCTTGCACCTAGAATAATTTGATAATTTTTCACTTTATCCATAAGCCATGGAGTTTAATAGGACCTTCATACGATGCTTTAATAAAGAGAAAAACGGAAGAGACTGATGACCATCAAAATATGTAAAATCCCTAAGACAAACTGTTACAAGTTCCCAGCTATTCATTCCTCAATCAAGAAGAGTCCTGCTTCTAACCACCAGCAAGTTCAAGAACCTTCACCTTACAGAGTTAGGAAACTAAAGGAGAAGAAATCCTTGATAAAGTCTGATCATGCAAACTTCTTTAATTACAAAATGAAATAACCAGAAAATTTAGCACCAACTTGTGATTTAGCTATAGCTACTGATGCAGCAATATTCTACCCATTCCATCCTACTAGCACAAATACATGTTTGTAAACTGACTGTACATCAGCTCCCTCAAAACATAAAACCGCATAAGAATCCTGTCAGTTGGTTCCCACTTGTTTAATATGTACAGAAGCCTCCCATCCACACAAAGGAACGACAAACTAACAACTAAAAGAGGTTATGAATTCCACACCTGGGTTAGGTACTGATCCTTTTCAAATCAATCCATCTTCATGAATGCTTTCAAAAATAATAGATTCAAATAGAGAAATAAACCTGCCAACTCAGACAAGGTGTTTATTCAAATTTACTTTAAGCTTAATGAGACGCCCTTAAATATTTCCCATAAAATCAGGTATTGTTTCATGTTAGCACTGACTTCTTGACATATAGTCAACTTATTTTTTCTATATGCCTGACTAATCTGCGAACTTACCAGGAGAACAATACAAAAAATCCAACTGCACTAAAGAATATCTTGGTGTGTGAGTACAACAAGAGAGCACAGAGAAGATTATTTCATAAAACTATATGCTTCAATAATTCAAGCCATATGAACCGTGCAAGTAGCTTAAAGAAAACCATAGGGATCTAACACATGAAAAGCGATAATCTACCACTTTCAAGTTTGAGTTACTAAAATCCTTATCATCCTACTCTGCAGAAATAAAACATAACAAATCAAAACCTGTCACAGACAAGCACTAACTACACTAATGCATTAGTCCCCCAGAAATCCACTTTCTTTACCAATCAACCAAACTCTCATAAGTCAAACGAAAAACATTAGAAATCCAAATCATTCAAATCAATAACCACAGCCCTAGGAAACAATAAAATCAACAGAAGTCAAAAGCTTGAGCAACCAACCTGCTCAAGCACAGCCTCTGTAATCAAATCCCCAGCAACCTCCTTCGATTCAGAGATGACGGAGAGTTCCTCCACCACCTATTTCCCTCCACTAGGATTCGCCACCAACCCAGCAAACCTTTGCAAATCTCTAACCTCTTTTTGCATCCCTTTTGCTGCCTTCTTCTTTGCCACCGCAAAAACCACCTGATCCATCACTTCCTCATTCATTTAAACCTCAAAAATAATCTCATCCTTACACGGCACCACCAAATTAAACAATCTCGATATCAAATCATTCCTGCTCTTCAACTCCATTGTTGCCAACAATCCTTGGCAGTGTCTTCGTCCACTCGCATAGAATTTGAACACGTTTTGCCCTTCTTTTAACAGCAATGGCGAGTCCTCCCTTTCTTTCACACCCAAAGACTGAAATTTTTCTCAAAGATCGAACCTTTTGCGGCAAATTTCGCTGCCCATGCCAACGCAAGATTCTCATTTTCACGTTTACCAGTTAAGTATTTGATTAGAAAAGCAATCAAGAAAGACCCACATATAATCTCCGCCACATAGGACTTCTTCGAAACCGTAGCGTTTTGGGGTTTTGAGGTTGTTTTTGGATCTGGGTCATTGGGGGTGGCATTTTCAGTAACTTTTGGAGGTTCCAGTGGCAGTTGTTCGACGGGTAAGCCCTCAAATTCGTCCTCATCCCAGTACTCGAAACTGGCAGTGGATGGCTTTTGAAGATCCGAATAGGGCGGCGAATCCGAATTGGGAACAGTGTTCGGATCAGGAATGGTTTGGGTTTCAGGATGTGGGGTGGGCTGTGAGTCGTACTGAGTTAAAAAAAGGCGATCGGAGGGAGTGGTGGTCTAAGGTTTCTTCTTCAACACCATCGTCACCTTCGGCGTCAAACCCTTCGAAGTGGGAATCAGCGAGGACAAGAGAGAAAGAGAGATGGGTGATCAAAAGAGAACAGAGAAGAAGCAAATCGAACAAAGAAATGGATTTGCCTCTGTTCATTTTGTAGGTTATCGTTTTCCTTTTGTTTTTGTTTCAGTTTCGTTATTTTCAGAGGGAAACGAGGATCGTTATTATCATTAGCGTTGATAATGATCAAATTAAGCTGCGGTCAAACAAACGTACAGAAATTCGCCAATGACGCTCTCAGCTTAGCTATACCAAACCACACATGAGAGTTCAACTTTGTTAATAATTAGTTAAGCTAATAAGCTGCTGTCTCGTGACAATCGCCAACGTTAATCATATTTTTGTCCACGCAAACATGAACGATTACACCTGGAAAACTTTAGAGTTGTTTTCAAGACAGACAACAATCTTAATTTTGTGTTAAAGTTCAGTTTCGCGTTGTGTCATCATATTCGAGGATGTGACACAAACAATGACCCCTAAAATAAATCTGATTACATGCACCTAAAAGCAGCTCTAATGCCGTCTCTCATTCTCTGATTTATATCCCGCACGCATGTATGACACTCACCCCAGTGGTTAGCCAGTCCACTTCCCCTACCTCCAAGGCTTAAACTTCAAACAACATTGTCTGCTCACTTCCATTTTTCCCTTACCTCTCTCTCTCTCTCTCTGTGTAATCTTTTGTAGTAAAAGCAAAGAAATCCCAGACCAACTCATTATCAAATAGCCCCCGGCCTCTCCCCTTTTCCACAGCCCATGCGCAAAAACACCTTTTTATTTCTTCTCTAGCTAGCTACCATGGCAACCCAAGTACCAATTCCGTCTCCAAGGCCACCCAAAGACTACAACGTTGACACTTCTCGCCCTTTTCGCTCAGTCAAAGAAGCCATCGCAGTCTTTGGTGAGCGGCTTCTTGTTGGAGAGATATATACCCCAAAGTCTTACACTTATAGCCGCCCTCCTAGCCAAGAGATTACTTGGTATTCACCGAGCCGTAAAGAAGATCATGGTCAGGAGAGTAACCAGCTGCAAGGGGTTCTGGGTACCTTAAAGAAGCTAGAGGCTGAACTTGAGGAAACAAAAAAAGAGTTGAAGTTGCTAAAGGAGAGAGAATCTGAAACAGAAATTGCGTTGGCTTCACTTAATGCTGAACTTCATAAGAAAATGTCAAAGTTGGCTGAAGCAGAGGCGGCGGCAGCTAAAAGGGCAGCGACAACACCAAGAGCTATGAGTTTTGAGATTGGAAATGGAGAAGACATAGCGAGAGAAGAAGAGAGGAGGAGAGAGCTAATGAAAAGAATGGAGAACAACCCAACTTTGTCTCAGATACTAAGCATTGGGGACAAGGAAGGATACTTTGAAGTGAAAAGAGAAAGAAAGTTGATGAAGAAGAAGCCCATTCCACTCATAGGAGATTGGCTTTTCAAGAAAAAAGGGTCGTCTATAAGACTATAACCCTTCACAAACCCCTCTATGCATCTTCTCATATGTATTTTACTCAAGACAAAAGGATCACTTTCCATAAAGTGTTTGTTTTATTTCCTTTGTTTATTTTCTCATTAAAATAGATTGTTATGAGTCCAATTTATGGGAGGAAAGTTTGTATGTACTTTATCCAAGGTAAATAAAGAAATTCATCATGTTTTCATGTTCAAATTAATCTTCTAGGACGTGCCACATTTAATGAGTTAAATAGTTATTATTATTCTATTACAAAAAATTATTATATTAATAATAAAATTTTAAATTTTACAAACAAAATTAATAAAATAATATTGTGGTTAGAGATGTAAATGATATATTAATACTCATAAATTATTTAAGTTCGACTCAAATAAAACTCGAATTTAATTTAATTATTATCAAGTCAAGCTCAAACTCAAGTAACGTAATTTATCAATCGTATTTAATTTGAGCATTCTTATATTTAGCTCAAGTAACTTATAAGTATAATCGAGTTTTTATATTTTAATATATTTAATTATTTTAATTCATAAAATATCTTAAACTCGAGTTTGAGTTCAAATACAAATAATTAAATTTTTATCGAATATAAGAATTGAGCTTATTTTTACATGTTAATCGAGCGTAATTGAGTGAGTTTGAGTAGTTTAATTTTTATTTCGAGTTGAGCTTTAAAAAATTAAACTCGATCAAGTTCGAATCAATTTTCGAGTCTCGAATTTGAAATTGAGTTTGATACTATATCAACTCGAACTCGATCGATTATATCCTTAATTATGATACGTCTTATTTAAAGTATATTAAAAAAATAATGTATAAAGCAAGTTTTTTGTATGAATATGCAAATATTGATGAGATGGAAATTTTTCACTTCATTGGGTATTCATTAAGCCAAAAAAAAAAACGTATAGAAAGGGAACAAAGATAGAAAAAAAAAAAGTAAAAATAAATTCCATTTAGTGAACATATAATACCAAAAAAATTGACAATGGCTTATACTAGTAATTAGACTTTATCAAATTATACTGATCCAAAATATACTAAGAAATAAATTTATTTCTAATTTTTTTTAAAAAAAATAATCAGGTTGAATAATAATCATCTTAACATATACTTTTTTTTTTTTTGGGTTGAAATGATCTTGACATATATTGAACTTAAAAGTTGTTCATTTCAATGTGCCTCGTATCCACACTTCAAAAGTCCACATTTTTTTTTCTTGAATTCACTTTTTGTCTAATTGTTTTGTACATTTATGTATTTTGTGAACATTTAAAATTTAATCTATATATTATAACTTATATAATTTAATTTAATAAATAATTTTATTAAATTTTTATTATTAAAAATATTAATGTGATTGTTGATTTAATTATGTAAACATTGGGGGATTAATTTCGATAAATTATAATATAAAGATTAAGTTTTTATAAAATATAGGAATTTTTAAGACATTTTAAAATAGAAATTTGATTTTGAGCTAGCTTGCTAGTTGCTTAGCTAAGGGCTTTTGTCAGCTTGCGCTTCGCGGACTTACAATCGCCACAACATAAATTGATTCCCTGATCACAGCCAAACGCCGCCAAAAACACGTCCAACTGGAAATCAAATCCCCCAGAAAGAACAACGAAAATTTGAAGTTTTAGAAAGGAAGGAGTGATTAATCGCTTATTTTTCTTTTATCCATCCTCGAGATGCAAGCCGTGGTTATTAGCCCAACATATTATTGCAGGGCCCATCAATCCCTAGAACCCTCCTGTTCTCGTCCCACAACTGCCACGGTTCGTTTCTCTATCTGCTTTCTTTTTTTTTTTTTTTGAAATTTGGTTCGAATTTTCATGATTCTAATGGTGTTTTCCGATTTGCCTAGCCGTCTAGCTTCTTTGGCACCCGCGTATCGCTCAAGAAAGGGCGTAATCTCTCGCGGCGCTGCTCATGGCGTTGTGTGCGGATTCGATCACCTGCTCTCACCCGTAGGCAAGGTCAGATCTTCCCTTTCGATTTGTTTGTTAATTTTGAACTCCGTTACATCTGTCTAACTACAGAAAAATCTTTCATTTCAAGTGTTTGGATGTTGAAATAGAGCGCTTAAATGATACATCAGTGCTTGCAAATTATTTGGACTTAGACTCGGATAAAATTTTAATTCAGCTTGATCATTGTTGAGCCAATCTTGAGCTCGAGCAGCTCAACTTATTGAGCAAACAGAGTTTGAGCTTTCTAATATTTGGCAGCAGTAACTCGCGATGCTAATGGAGTTTTTATATTTTAATATATATTTTAATTAAAAAATTATTATTTTATCTTTATATATATATATATATTTGAACTCGAGTTTGAATATAAATAATCGAGTTTGAAGTAGATTATGAAAATTGAGTTCTTTTTTTATTTAATAAATGAGCATAATTGAGTGAGTTCGATTAGCTCGAATTTTATTTTGAGTCGAACTTGAGCTTGAAATTTAAAACTCGATTGAGCTTGAATTGAGTATTGAGCAACGAATTTCAAATTGAGCCTGAGCTTCTCATTGTATTGACTCAACTCGGCTCGATTACATCCTTAGTTGAAATCTTAGCTCTGATGAAATAAATAGCATTGTTGGAGCTGGCCACTTTTATTTTTCAATCTTTTTTTTTATAAATTTACAATTATTTACTATTGATTTATTTAATTTTTCTTCCTTTGAATTTTTGTAAATGATTATGTTAAGAAATTTGAGTTTATTGCTCTTATGCTCTCTATGATTAGATGTTTAGTTTATTTGCATATATGGTATTTGAAAAGTTTCTATCATTTTTATCACATGATTAATGAACTTTTTTAATAATTAAATTTCTAATTGACTTAGATAGTTTTAGGTTCCAAATATTTTCTTCCTATTTCCCTTTGAATTGTCAATCTTTTTAAGTGTTCTGAATCTGTAGAAGCTTGCTTTGTTTTGAGTTCATGCAGTTGTAAAGGCTGTGGCCATTCCTGACTCAGCGTTGGAGTTGCTGCTAACGGCAGAGAATGTCGAAAGAGTGTTGGATGAAGTTCGACCATACCTTATTGCTGATGGGGGGAATGTGGCATTACATGAGATTGATGGTAATGTTGTGCGATTGAAGCTACAAGGGGCATGTGGCTCATGTCCAAGTTCTGTTATGACAATGAAGATGGGTATCGAGAAACGGCTAATGGAAAAGATACCTGAAATTGTTGCAGTGGAACCAATAACTGATGAAGAAACTGGCCTTGAGCTGAATGAAGAAAATATTGAGAAGGTAATTACATCACAGCCTTATTAGCTCGTAACACTTATGATCTCCTTGCATCCTACCATATAAAGAAGGCTTCTTTTTTTTGCTTTATATTTTAACTTTTCGCTAACTGGGAGTAAAGAGATTGAGAGAGCAAGTCAATATGGTGAAGTAAGGGATCTATTGTTTTTCTGAATACAAATTAAGTCAATGGAACAATAAAAGAAAACTTAAGTAAATAGAACCGACAGGCTGGAAATAAATCTGGAGGATTTGAATATGCCGACTCAGGTTTAAGCCTTATAGCTCAAGATTTGTTTCAATTCTTTGATAATAACTTTTTTTTCCCTTCTTCTAATTGAGGGATAATACCTAAGGTTTTAGGATTGAAAAGGAAGAGTACTAGTGTCATGTAAACAAGTTTCTAATCCATCCTTAGGTGTTAGAGTTATAAGGGAAAGAGTACCATTGGAAGAATCTAAGCTAAAATTTACAGTAATGATTTTAAACCCCCATGCAAACAATTTTTGAGTTCATCCTCCAAGTAGCCAAACATGAAAAATATGTTTATTATTTACCTTATTACAACATTTTAAATCTAACCATCTTATATAAATCATTTCTGTAGAATACTTAATCAAACTATGGCAGCCAAGTCAGCATTCTTTTCAGTTTTATTCTATAATAATTCCAATTTTGTGTGAGTTTCTGAATATTATTACCCTAGTATAATTGATCCTCACAAAATTAGTTGTTTAGTTTTACTTTTTAGGCTAACTGTTGATGGCCACTTGCTCAACAGTTTAACAATTTTCTGTCACTGATGTATTGCTTGAATTGTGCATTTGCCATTTTACATAATTGACTGTAGCCAGGTCTATGTATGGTTTGTTTAGCGGTTCAACTTACTTTTTAAGTCCCTGCCTAGCCTTTGTTTCCTTTATCAAAACCAAATTAGAAAGTCGAAGGCATAAGAAGAGCTGTAAGATTAGTCAAGTCTTTGCATATTGAGGGCCCTGAATTTAGGATGATTGTATAAAGCATTTTAGTTATATTGTTGCTGCACGATGGAATGGTTTTGCTTATCAAAACCTCAAGTACTTTGATGGGAAGGAAGATACTCAAGGATGATAGAAAAATGGGGCAAGATAGTTAGAAAAGTCATGCGGACATAGTTATACGCTAGAGAATTTGTTCCCTTATTTGTTTAATTTTCTTGTTCCTTTCATTTGGCTTAGATCCTTAGTTAAAGTATGGCATTATTTTGATTGTTAATTGGCATGTTTTGGCTTCTATTTATGAGCATTTGGTACCCTTTTCTGTAAACTTTGTTGGGTTCATCATTGGTATTTAATATTCATGATAGTATATTGTGCATTGTGGGAGGTACTTGAAGAAATTAAGGCATAACGTTCAACTTTTTCTGAACGTGTATGCATGTCAGGTACTTGAAGAAATTAGGCCGTACCTGGTTGGGGCAGCGGGTGGATCGCTTGAATTAGTTGCCATTGAAGAGCCAATAGTGAAAGTTCGAATAACGGGCCCTGCAGCAGGGGTCATGACTGTTAGAGTGGCTGTCACACAAAAATTGCGAGAGAAAATTCCTGCCATTGCGGCAGTTCAACTTCTATGATTTCGATGCTAGATTCTTCCATCAACAATATGGTTCTCAAATAAAGCATTTCTTGTTAGGCTTGTAAAACTTGTATGAATAGTGAAATCCTGCTGTATAGTTTCTATACTTGTTGGATGCCAGTGTTAAATGGTAATGTTTTGACAGTTCAATTCTATTACAGTGATTTGTAAATTGTCAGCAAGCTCCCAAGATGGGTTACTGCCACGTGGAGATGTGGGCTATATGAAATCCAAAAAAATGAACCTAAAGTATGAGAGTGTAGTCGATCGAGTTCGAGCTGATACAGTATCAAGCTTAAGCTCAAACTCGATTTAAAATTTAAAACTCAAAATTCGGCTTGAATTCGATCAAATTTTATTTTTTTATTTCTAACTTGACTCGAGATAAAAATCGAGTTACTCGAGTTAATTTGATTAAATGCGATTAATATGTAAAAATAAGTTTGATTTATATTTGATAAAAGCTTGATTATTTATGTTCGAGTTTAAATTTGAGTTTGAGATATTTTATTAATTAAAATAATAAAAATATATTTAAATATAAAAGTTTGATTAGGTTTGTGAACTATTCGAGTTGAGTATAAGAATATTCAAATTCGATTTGGATGAATTAAGTTACTCGTATTCAAATTGAATTCGATAATAATCGAGTTGAATTTAAATTTAATTTAAATTAAATTCAAATAATTTACAAGTATTAATATATTATTTATATTTTTACCAAATACCTGTCAGGAGAGTGCTTTGGGCCATTTCCAACCCTCATTGAATTTAAGGGAAATCCCCAAAATGGTAGAACAAGGGGATGGCGATGGCCCAAACAATCTGCAAAAGGCTCAAAAGAAAATAGATAGAAAGTTGTTTTTCCCTTTTTTAAACTATCAAGATGTACATAACTAGATATTATATTTTTACAAAATCTCCTTCATTACTAGCCTTTCTCCTGGGGTATTACATCACCGATCTTGGTGCCAGTTCCACGCATTTAGCTTTCAGAAATGGCTGAATTCTCCTGGTCGTGAAGGAACGTAGTACATGTAAAAATCTCCTTTTACATCTCATTACTATTGGCAATGTTTTCCGATCACCATGGAAATTCACTAGCCTTGGTAGACATGGGGTAAACCTCTGTAACAGTAACTTTAAGTGATGTCGTAGAGAACCGAAAACTACATTATTCCGTTCTGTCATAATCTGCTTAATGCTACCTTTCGGTGAACTGTCTAATTCTTCATTTTTTTCAGTATGGTTAGGTTGGAGTTTTGATATTGTGTCGGAGACCAATTGTTTTAACTCTGGATGTTCGGCAGCTACTTGGGTACCTGTCATCTGAAGAGCACTCAATGCTCCGGCTTCTATCAGAACATTGCTATTGCTACCATGTTGTGCAAGGAAGCAGATCAGAGCTAATCCATTATGCTGTAACTTTTTATCCCCACTAAAAATTAACTTCATTAACGGTCGTACTCCGTTGAATTCAATTATCGACTTCGAATGCTCCGAACAAAGGTGGTTATCGGTGGACACAAACTTTTGCAAAGCAATAGCAGCTTCCATTGCAACTTCTTGGTCTGAATTGCCTAGCAGAGTCACCAAATGACTAATTACTCGAGTCTCTTTCGCTGAAAAAGACCTTGCCAATGAACCAATGGATTCGAGTGCTGGAATCCGCAGTTTTGTGTTATCAAATTCTTTGATTATCCTCAATAACTCATCCACAACCGCCTTTGCAGCTGGAGAAGTACTTTTAAAGGCCGAATGTCTAAAATCATTATTTGATTCAGCAATAGCTGTGATCTCCCTTATAATCATTAAGCAATTGTACTGTAATTCGTCCTGTTCCGTTTCCACCAATTTGGCCAAGCAAAACATTCCTTTTGTCTCCGTTAATGTCCTACAATTCGAAACGCTCCCCCGAGCAAGCATCCATAAAGCCTTGGAGCAACTAATTTTCAACTCTTGCTTATGTAAATTCGTTGTAGGATTATCTCTTGATGGCTCAGATGATAACAATGTTACCAGCCTCCATATTACATTCTCTCTAACTAAAACGTATTCCTTCAGCTTTGGGTTATGCTCTGCAATACTAGCAACCAAATTGGCCGCTTTGCTTTGATCGCTCATTGGTGATGTTCTTGACAAACGATTTACAATTGTAGTTATCATTTCCTTCATAATAATCCTCGCCCTCTCCTGGTCATCAGCTAAAAGGCAAAGCGCATTGGCCACTGTGATTTGAGCCTCCACAGGGACGTTCTCTTTCAAAAGCTTTTGCAAAGGAGGTACCCCGCCTTCTTCAAAGATGATTTTCTTGTACTCGTTGTTTTCTTGAGCAAGCAACTGGAGACATTTAGTAGCCTCGATTCGATCGTCCAGTTGACACCCCATTTGGACGGTGGCGATGCAAGACCAGACCAAAAAGGTGGTAGATATTTTGTGGTCGATTGGGCCTGTGGCCCTGCTGTTTTGGGGATTATAGACGATGAGCAGCCATTCCATATCGCTGATAGAAGCATCTAAATGGAGGAAGAGTCTGCTAAGTAGGCTTCGACGCTTGCACTTGTAAAGAATGGCCCGGACGAGCTCAAAGCTATCCTTGACCTTGGCAACGATGCTGGTAACTGGGCGCAAGTAAAGGGAAGTACGACCAGAAGTGATGAAGCAAAACAGGGTCTGTAGCATTTGCAAGAGTCGATTCACTCGCTTCTCTAACTCACCACACTCCACCTTGAACGACTTGGCCCTGTTAACCGCTAAGCAAACCTCCTCCCCTAATGATATCAAATCCCAGAGCTCCTGAATCTGCATTTTGGTCTCCAAAACCAACACCATCTCGATCACTGTTCAGTTCAATTTTGTTGGATTTTGCATTTCTTTTTGTCATCTTTTCTTTTAAATATTGGCGCCTAAAGAAACAAAGACTCACTTGGCTTGGCTCAAAATGATTATGCTGTCGTGGGTTACTTTGCAGTTTTGCTAGATGTTCGCGCGATGATAGATAGCATCACAGGATCCAATTTGAAGAAGTTGAAAGAAGAGAATTAAAGAAAAAAAAAAAGAAAACAACTTGAAAGCACCATGTTTTTGTGGCCATTTTCGATTTGTCGATTCTATTTATAGCCACTTACTAGAGATAATGACGTATTGGATTTGTGTTACAACAAATAAAAAACTTAAACGTTAAAAAATACTTTGTGGTCATGTCATCACTCATCAATGTGTTATTGACTTTGGACATGAACGTCATGACCTAGAAAACAAAAGACAGAATATAGAAACCGCGCGCACTCGTGCGGTACCTCGACCGCATCGCGATATCATCTCTTTTTACCTTTTGGTCTGTCTTATTTTACTAAATTTCTGATTTAGGAGAAGATAATCATAAAATACAAGCTATGCGGTTGGGCAACAGAGTTTAATATTTTCTTGGAACAAGAACGTATTATATTTTTAAAAACCTTGAGGCAAAAAAGAAGGGAAAAGAAAAAGATCGGATGCCTGTTAGGCAGAAAACAAACAGATGAAGAAATATGAGTTGAAGTGTGTTTGATTTTGATTTGTATTGTGCACTATATACAAGAGAGTTGCTATTTACAATGCTTGACAGGGCAAAACATAAAACAGAGTTTTTTGCAAAGCAATGGCAGCTTTTGTTGCCACCGTTGTCAAACATTAATAAAGGAGGCTGACCCCCTTCTTCCACAATGTATTTCTTGTACTTGTGGTCTATTCGATCACTTAATCGGCACCCCATTTGGACGGTGGCGTGCAACTACAGACCAGTAAAAACTGGATTATTGTTGACGATTGGAGGGAGGATGACAACAATTCAGCCAAAAGTACCATTCTTTATGGGGTCTAGACCGTAAGAAGCCACTTCATATTGCTTATAGAATCATCTAAATTGCGGAACAGTGTTTGAAAATCAGTAGTCTTGGTGGTATTGAAGTACCAACAAATGATGCTTTTGAGATTGAACTTGCCGGTATGTCTAGAGCCTTCTTGAGGATGCCTTCAAACCCCTCAAGTATGCAGTCAACTGGGCGCAAATAGAGGGGTTTCTTAGCTGAGGTGGTGATGAAACGGATTTCAGCATATAAGACAGCTGATCAACTCGCTTCTCTACCTCAAGCCATTTTTCCAGGACAGAGTGGGCCTCATCAACCGCCGAGGAATGACAATTTAGCCTCTTTGTTCTCTGAATCTTTCATGGGGACTGCAGTACTAACTGTGTTGTCTTCTCAAATTTTGTGATAATTGTTGTACAGGGTCAGTTTACATGAAAGTCGCTTGAACTTGCGACTTTATTGCTTCTTTGGAATGTTGGATAATTGGAGGATTGCTTTCTCTCGAACGCAAGTCAGCAGAAAAAATGTTCTTTTGGCAAACAACGCGCGAATACATTTCTAGAACCGAGCAATGCCTCCAAGTCTCGCTAGACACAACAGGATTGGTCTAAAGTTTCGGAGTTACGTCTGTTTTCGATTGCTTTATCCTTTTGTGATCTTCGAGATGTTGGATATGGTCAAAGTGATGGCCAAGATACCTTAACTTGGGCATTAAGATATGCATCCCTTTGGCTCATTGAGTCAATATCGTCATTGACTTTTGGATTTAAAAAAAAAAAGAAAGAGAGAGAGAGAGAGAGAGAGAGAGAGAGAGAGAGAAACGCGAGATACAATCAGAAACTCAAGCAAAATCGCGCGGTAGGGCAGGAAAATCGAGCGTAGCCAGCAGATATGAGAAGAAAACTCGAGCTCAAGTTCAACACACCTGAGAAAACTTGTTGGGAACATTTCCTTCTCTTTTTTAAGGTCCATCGTTCTCTAGCCAAAACAGAAACCTTCAGCAACTCGTTGTACTTCATCAATGGCAATAGTGTCAAAGAATCTCAAGAAGACAGATATTGAGAAACGATTGACGATCCCAAGCAAATCCCTCAAATGTTTCCCTCCTCTAAGTGGCAGACATATGGTGGATTTTCCAGTTAAAGACGAGAGTGACCGTGTGTGGAAGTTTCGAATTTACACTCGAAAAAAGAATAACAGGTACCCGAAGCCAGTTCTTACCAAGGGATGGCGTGAATATGTTTGCAGCAAGGAGCTTCATATCGGTGATAGAGTTGTGTTTTACATGGAGAAAGAACAAGCTGGTGCTGTCAAGTATCGAGTCAAAGTGGAAAGACCTGTTAAAATATTTGGTTCGGTTTTTGCTTATAAACCAATTCAGTGCTAGCATATTTGGTATACATTCCAAGACCCTTTACTAATGGGAGACTATCTGTTTTGTGTTTGGTTTCCACTGTTGTTAGGATTTCTTGTAATTCTGGTTAAATATGCTGTGTAAATATACTGATTAGTAATATATTAAGTTCTTGTTCGATCAGTTAAATTTTTTCTCTTTGTTTTCATAGAAATCAATCATGCTCATATACATATAAAACACCATAAACAAAATAGATTTGCCTGTAAAAACAGAATGAAAACAGAGCAGAAACAGAGCCATTGGTATATTTTCTCTAACAGGGAATCTCCTAAAGTTAGTAGCAATAATAAGTCTTCAAGTTGCTAATCAAGATGGATAATGGATTATTGTAAGATGTTCATCATAATATTTTAAGGCTAGTATCTTTGGTTGGATTGATTCAGTGCTGATCAAAAGCTAGCTTATTGTCTTTTAAAGGCCGTAAATTTTGACTGCAGTAGATAATAGAAGCAGAGCTAAAAGCATTGATTCTCCAATTTATGATCTTTAGCTCGTCAGTGAATGGAGATTTTAAAAGCTGAAGGAGAGTTGAAGGAGAACATAGCCATTAATTCTGGGTTCGTAAGATGTAGTCAACTGCAGTTTTTATTCCAACGAAAAAGACATGATATTCAACCTTACAATGTTCTAGATAATCTAGAAATACATTTGTCACCATGTGAAAGAAACGCATGTCAAAAGCTACAATTTAATGAACCATCAATTCTAATGCTCTAAAAACAAAGTGGTTTGACAAATAAAATAGATAAAGTTTATAGATAAAGTTGATAAAGTTTTTATTTCTTCTCACTCCGTATCACTATCAATGTACTGGCATTGGCACTGCAAACCTCGCGTCATATCGGCAGAGAATCGAGCGATGCTACATTATGCCAAACGCGAGGGAATCGGGTGAAAACGAGACAATTTCGTGCGAAAAAAAAGAAGTAGAAAATCGAGTGAACTCACTTCACACGAACTTGCTATCTTTGTTCTCTATTTATACACAGGCAGGCTTTTGGGGTTTGCATTATGGGATCACAAAATGGTGATAGCATTCTCCAAGATTCTTACAAAGACAGATGTCGAGAAGAGGTTGTCTGTTCCGACAGTGAAGAAAAAATGTTTCTTGAATTTCGGAGGGCAGCATAAGGTGGAGTTTAAGGCCAAAGACAAGAATGGCAGAGTCTGGTCAATTTTTTGTTCTACAAGGAAGAACAAAGGCTATCCAAAGCCAGTTCTCTGTAAGGGATGGCTTCAGTTCGTGCACTGTTGGAAGCTTGCAATTGGTGATGAAGTAATATTTCATAGGAAGCAGGATAAAGCTGGCAAGGGATACTGTAAAATTGATGTGATCAAAAGAGCAACCCAACGATCTTCGGTTCTTTCACCTCTAGTTCAGAACCACGATGCTGATAGAACCATGGCGGTAGCAAGCTACAGCAAAATTGAAGAGGAGCCATCTACAACCTCCTATAGCACCGATCAAGCTATAACCGATGTCCAGACTGAAGGGCTTCATAATCAACCCGTTACTGATAGGGATGGTTTGACGTTCGAATTTATTAGTCTGGTGCCACATATAAAAGTTGGGGAACCCAAATTGATCGACTTTTTTGAATTGGGGTCACAGGAACAAAGTGAAAAGGAGCTACCAGGCTTAAAAACTACATATCATATGGTTGAGATTCCGACGACAGGCTCAACGGCTCCTTATTTTGAGTTCCTTTGATTGTTTTTTCACCCGCAATTTTCCCATCTTTTCCCTTTTTTTGTGAGGGATATGCTTTGTTGTATTTCCCCCAAGTATGTAATAAAATTAGCAAGCAGATAGATTTCATCTGAAGAAAAGCTCCATCCAGTTACTCTGCATTTCAACAAGAACCACAAACTAGTATGTTTACAAATTATTCCCGGTAGTCATACTCGTACACAAACAAATATGAAAACATGTTTTGTATATCGTCATTATGGTTATGGTTACTATGAACAAGAGAGAAAAAAAATGCATTAACGAAAAAAGAAAGCTGGTAAATGAAACAAGGGACGGGAGAATGAGACTACTTAGAAGCAAAACCTACAAATGTTTGGAGGTCTTAACTCTCGCTAAAGTAGTTTTCAATCCACCTTAGTTGGTACCTTCAGACTTCAAAAATTCTTCAGCATTGATATGAAATGCAAACAAACCACCCATGCATCCACCAGAAAAGGACTAGAGGCCAAGCTTTGAAAGAAGTTCTCTCCATCTTGGGGTCTCTTCATCAAAAATGTAGGTCAATGGTGAAATTAGCACCCCACTGCCTCCAATCTGCACCAGACAACATTCAAATTCACTGACTAGGAAGAGCAACACTTACTAGAGGCATATAACCGAGTTTAACTATTGGTGTTGAAATGGGTTGCATTGCCTAAAATAACATCGAGGAATCTTTGAGAACCTAAAACCCAACAGATTCTTCTTTCTTTATTTTGATAAGGAAAATTTTTCATATATTACTCCATGTAAAGTAGCATACACAGATGCATGATGCCTATGCTGGCTAAAAGTATAGGAGCATGTTTGATCCACCTGAAAACCCATCACTTCT